TGTGCCTAGATGGCTTCAAAATCAATGTGTGTCAAATGATCCGATCAACGTGGGAGGTAGAAAACCAGGTTCATCGATAGCAAAATATATAATTGAAACGGGGCACAAAATTGACATTAATACAACTTTTAGAACGTTGTATAGAAATTGTCAAGGACGAATTCTCAAGTTTATCGAAGTCTTGGTTATTCGTAAATTTAAACCCACCTTATGTGTACAAAAACAATTTGTCGTAACCTTGAATTTACTTTGGTAATCCTTAAGTCATTCTATGGCCTAGGATAACGCGACAATTTTTTATTCTTTCTCTGCTCTTTGTTACTTTTCTGCTTATTTTACTTAAAGTTTCATTTAATTGACTTTTATTAATTATCACATAAAGTGCCCTGACAAGTATATGTGTGACCAAATTGTTCGAAATTTGTAGCGCAAATACATCACATTTTTCAGATCAACGCCGTCTTTTCATTGTTCTATAGAAATATATATGTAGTATCAGTTCATTAATAGATCTCAGAGGTTTCGCGTAACTTGTTCTTCGCTAGGATATAACAGCAGTGGTTTAAAAAGTCAGTAATATAAAAACGAACAAAAGAAATTATTGATGGGTGGTTGACACACTTATATTATACTACTTAATAGAATTTACGTAGTTACTACAACTAATGGAAATTTAAAAGGCTAAGACTGAATGGTTTTGAGATGGAGATTTGTAGCTCAGGCGGAGTTTTGTTTTCTCAGATGCGTAGTTTGATCATGTTTTCAATTCATAAGGTTTCACTTGATAAACTGTATATTGGGGTTCCAGGGAGTGATGTAATTGGACCTGGTGAGATGTTTTGTTTGAGTGTTTTCGACGTAACGTAGAATTGAGGGAGTCCTGGTCCATTGGATTTCATTTGTCATTGATCTTGCTTTGGTATTTGCCCTTCTTTGACACACTTGTTTCCTATTTTATGGTGCGATGCGGTCTGTTTCGCTTAGAGGAATCTGTTATTGGTGTTCTGTACTGAACTGAACGGGCTTGGCGGGCTTACTTACGATTGTTACTCTCAGTATATAAAAGAGGGTCAAAATTTTCCTGTGACAACCATAGAGGAATTAGTTTAACTAACATAGTATCTAAAATACTAGCCTCGATAATTATCAGACGCCTAACTAAGACTCATGAACTAAAAACACGAGAGAATCAATTGTCTTCAGACCTGGTCGTGTCTCCATAGACCATATATTCACCATTCGTCTGGTTCTAGAGAACAGGCATACTTATCTACGTCCGACAATAGTTGTCTTTCTTGACTTAAAAGCAGCATTTGACTCCGTAGACTGCGAGATTCTGTGGCAGTGTCTGTCAATGAAAGGTGTACCTCAGAAGTACATAAACCTTGTAAAGGCTCTTCACTCGAACACTACTGGTCGACTCAGAGCTAATGGCAAACTGTCATCTGCTTTTGCAACCTCAAGTGGTGTCCGTCAAGGCTGTCCAATTTCTCCATTTTTTAAAATTTCATCATAGACCTACTGATCGAAATAACGTTCTCGTCGATTGAATCCTCGGGCATTAATCTCCTATTTCAGGAGGTCCACTTCTCGAATTAGAATACGCGGATGACATAGTCCTGTTTAGTGAAGACGCTGAAAAAATGCAGAGTCTTTTGGTAGCACTAAGCAACAATACTGGAACGTGTTGGGATGCGTCTCTCCCTCCAAATGCAAGTTGTTGCTTCAGGACTGGTCTGAGTTAACACATGAAATAAGGATAGGGAGTGAAGTAGTGGAACGCGTTAAAAACTTCACTTACCTTGGAATTCTGATAAGCCCTAATGGGTTGGTGTCTGACGAAATCTCAGCACGGATTCGAAAAGCTCGATTGGCTTTTGCCAACTTGCGTCACCTTTGGCGAAGGCGAGATATCCGTCTATCAATAAAAGGACGAGTATATTGCGCAGCAGTTCGTTCTGTTCTACTTAACGGCTGCGAAACGTAGCCATTAAGAGTAGAAGATACTCGTAAGTTACTAGTATTCGATCACAGATGCCTTAGAAATATTGCTGGCGTCTGCTGGGATCACCGATTTAGTAATAGTGAGGTTAGACGCACGGTATTAGGTAATGATGGTAAATCAGTTGATGAGGTTGTGAATCTTCATCGACTGAGATGGTTGGGTCACGTGTTACGTATGCGTGAACACCGATTACCACGACGTGCAATGCTAACCGGTGCTGGAGATGGTTGGAAGAAAGTTAGGGGCGGTCAAACCAAAACGTGGCATCAGTGCTTGAGGTCACTAACTTGTAGTCTGAGCCATGATGGTAGATGCAGACTACTTGGTTGGGGTCCGCGTGACTATCGTAACCAATGTTTGGAGACTCTTGGTGACATGGCTCAGAATCGATCACAATGGCGTCGGTGTATACACTCTCTATCTTTCCTTAAACTAAGAGATTAAAATTGCTTCATATATTTCTTTCTACGAACTGATTCTTTCCTCCTGTACTATATCCTTATTGCGATCTTTCTTTTATATATTACCGCCTCTGAATTAACTACTTTTATGAACCCGGTGTTCGTCTTGTTGTGTTAATGAGTTATGGTAACTTGCACCGATGCATATATGTGCCTGGTTTTACGTTGTAGCTGACTGGCTGTTACTCTCGATGGAACATAGGCCGCCGACCAGCATTTTCTAACCCACTCTGTCTTGGGCTAGGCGATCAAAATACCAATAAGGATTTATATATATATATATATATATATATATATATATATATATATATATATATAGTTACTGAATAATTATACAATAAGAATATAATTTATACTAGTCCATAAATTAGTCCTGGAAGCTAGTACTCCCTCAGTCTTCTTTCGGATATAACAAATACTAAATTTCATGACCATAACTTTCAAATAAAATCTATAACTCGAAGTACATGTCGAGAAATCTACTATTTGTCAATAATTCAACCCAAGCCAGCCATTAGAAAATCTCCATTCTGAACATATAGGTTGCTCATGCAATTCAACATGGTACTGTGAAACTCATTCTCTGAATGGCTTACTCTTCAAAAATATCGAAAAATCCTATAAACACTACTTTTTTCAATTGACAGATAATTCCCATCTAAACATTAAAATTAAAACACGAATTTCAGCGAAGGGATCTCTTTTCAACGAGTTAATTATCAAGCTGTACAATCGTATATATATGAAATTCTTTTGTTTTGGTAAAAGTACTAATTCCGTGAGGAAATGTGAACACAGTTAAATAAAAATGTTATAATACTAGATTACGTAATGTGAATAATAACAATAACAATGGATTTGTTGAATGTAATAAGGTGATTAAAATGATTAAAATGTTTTTGATATAATAATTAAAGGTTATAGAGGTGTAAAAAATAAAATGATATGATGAGCGTTCATGAATAAAACAATGAGAATATAAGACATAAGTAAAGGAGGAATGCAGTAATAATAATAATAGTAATAATAATAATAATAGGATAATCAAAATAATTATGGTCAAGGTAACGATAACGATAGGACGTACTTCTTTTGTACGCATAGTTCTGGTTTAAGCTCCTGGATGGTAAGAGCTTCGGCTATTTTTAAAAGTTGTATACGAAGAAATCTGGGTAGATTTGAACTAATCATATAAACAACCTTAAAGTCAATTTGTGGATCTGTTGAATGGTTATAGTCGATTAGGTGTTCAAGTATCGAACTCCTAACTGCTTTCCTTTCACCCTTATAGAACCAAGCCGGCATATGTTCCCTTATCCGAGTTGAAAGCGAGCGCTGGCTACCGCCAATGTACCTTGCTCCACAAGAGCAGGTGAACTGGTAGATGCACATATAGGCGACCAGACGCGGAAACTTATCTTTTATGGATACAGAAAATAAGTTTCTACTAGTGAAGGATATTCGCAGTTTTGCCGCGTTAAATGTTCTTCTAATAGTTGTTGTTAGACGATTTTTGATTACGTCTGATGTTCGATCACCTTTAAATTCCAGACATATATAAAGGTTTTTCTTCGTAATGGAACAACTAGAATTCTTGTCGCGACTACTTCTATTCATATTCCTTTCTATGAACCATTCTGGGTAACCATTTTCCACCAAAGTCTTCTTGAGGAATGCGAGTTCTTCGTTAATGCATTCCGTACTGCATATGTGATGTATGCGATAGCACCATATCATCATCGGCTGGAATTGTAGTACTAGATTTTTGTCTTTTCTACTTTTAAGATGTGGTCAAGGAGTTTTCCCAAGTTAATAATAAAAAATAATCGGTCTACTCAATATTAAAGTACATTAAGTCTTGCTCATATGACTCATATGGATACTGTCATCCTACAAGTGTCTCTATATATTGTAGCGATGTATAATGTAGTTAAACATTTGATAGATGGAACTAACAGTAACTATTAGTATCATTCGACTAAAAGTGAATTACTCAAGTACAGACATACACATAGTTAATCTAATTTAGTCACAATGCATTCGTAACCATGGTTTCAATTATGTACTGTTTGAAAATTAGGTCGATAAATACGTAGGCGTTTATCATACTTCTATTTTTAATTTTCTCTATTATTTAACATTACTCACGTTTTTTATGACTCACCATCCGGTTTTTAATTGCACATTGTCCATTCTGTACTGTCTTTGTCTATTTTGATAGCCAGTGGGTGTTTTACAAACTACCCCAAAACTGACCTGTAGAAACATTTTTTCAGCGTTAAAAAGACAACTACTTGGTTTTTTATATACATATGCATTGTTACCTGTGGAGTTCTTTCTAAACCATTAAATACGTAAATACTAATGTTTGACATTGTTGTTTTTATAACTCATCTTCAATGAACGATTATTATCCTCAACAAGTTGATAGTGTATTTCAATAATCCACTTTACCAACTTCTACACTCTTTATAACTTTGTGTTACTTCTAATATTCTCATTGTTTTCTTGACGTTAAACTTTTAATATTTTAGGCGGACAAATTCGGAAAACAAAGAGATAACAATGATTTGTATGCTCTTTGTTTATCTTGTATCTCAGGTCTTGTCCATGCCTATTCTCTACAGGTTAGTTATAAAGTATATCACATATCTGTTTTGATTACTTATTTCTCAATCAGTAGTTGGATTCTTTTTAGTTCCGGTGCTTCGAGCATCACGATTCTTTGAAATTATTAAATATGCCACTTTAATGTTCATCATCATTCATTCCTTTCTCGACAATATTTTTAGCTATATAGAAACCTAAACAATTATTCTAATTCATTTTATTATCGTTACCTACGTAGGTGGTATGCTAATTATTAAATTTCTAAATATTGTGAAAATAATACGGAAATCTATCATATTTAAAGATGCTTGCTGTTAGTAATTTATTGACGTACTTCTAATTTTTATGTGAATATATACATACATTTCTTCAACCGGTTAGGTGCACAATTCTAATTATTTACAATCAATGAATATACCAGTGATAGGGTTCATGTTTTGATTAAAATTTAGTTTGCTTTATATATTTTGTTCCCTTGATTATTTTGGACATTGCAGAAAATTATAAGATTTACAAAATGAAATAATTTAGATCCTATTTGAAAGCCACTCTTTAGTCAAGTACAAACTAATGTCCCAATAAATGATATGATTTGGCTTAAATAGGCCAAAAACTGTATAAACCAATCACTGTAAATATCTATTTGAAATTGTCATTCATTTACTCACTTAATGACTAGCTTCTAGATGAATTACCAACGTTCTAGTTAATCAGTCATGACTATCATAGTGCAACTATTTCGAGAGTAAAACAACTACCAACAAACACCATTTGATGATTTTCACTGTGTATCACTTTATTTGAAGCTGGATAAATAAACCTGGATTCCGGCTCTGTGATCTAGCGAAAAAACAATGCATTCACGGCAAAAAGGTGGTTGTTACGTCCTATTCTCAGTTAACTTGCAAGTGATCACTGTTAAGAATTTCCATTATTTAGACGAAATGGCTGTCCAATATCCTCTAGTTTTCAGTGGTCCCCCTAACTGATGCCAATCAGTTATTACTGCCTAATCCGTGGTAAAGCTGAAATCCATTATCTCATCTTAATATCTTGAGTATACGTATATCTATTTTGACCCCTTAATAATACATTATTTAAATTGGCCAGTTCTCTTTTTGTGAAATTTCTTTGGTCATTTGTTCCCTTAGTAAATTATCAATTTAGTTATCTTAAGTACTCGCACTTTTCAACCATATCCTCTACGTTTATCTTTTTCACAACCCTAAACAATACTATTACTTAAAGTCTTATGTTTTGAATCTTGTTAATTTCACTTCTCTTTATTGATATGGTAGAGGAAGGAGTTTTGAGGGGCAGTGTTGTGACGATGTACCTAATGTTATATTGATTCTCACTGACTATTTATTGTTTCCTTTTTTCTTCCTTGAATGTTATTTTAGACCAATTATAAATCTCAGTTGGAGGACTTTACAGTAATCTTGTTGAGAAGTTTTGGACTTTCACCTAACCAACGTCAACCACCAATAATAAGTCCTCATGGTGTTATTGTTGATTATATTACTGAAAGTTTTAAATCAGCTCAGACTAGTTCTTTATTATTATCTATTTTATTCAACTACACGATTCCACATTTATGTGTTCCACTTTTGTCAAATTCTTATACTAATTCCAATGATCATCTTGGAATTGCCGAGGAAACTAAACTTAATATTGATGAAGTAAGTTTTTATTTGAGTGATAAATATTATCACTTTAATATAAAATACACATTTGTAATATGCTTCTTTTGATGTTCAATAAGTCATGAGCCACGTGGAAATTGGCGTATATGCACATCATTTGCCACACTATCACATCAACACAACGATATGAAATGTTGAACGAAATTCATGAAGAGATTTTTAATGATTTTATTCATATTATTGTTCCGAATTTCTTCGTTTGTATAGGTTGCTTCAACCTCTCTGTTGATGTTATAGGCTGCATTTGATCAATCTACTTTTGTATGTGTGTGAACATCAACGCTGTGCCGACGGTACATCCATCTGATGAGACATAACACCCCTCCTGGATTCCACTGCTAGTCATTATCCAACTAAAATACTTACCATATCACTTAATAACTACATTTTGCTATTCATCACTAGTTTTAATAACAAATAGGATAGTCGATTAGTCATAATCAACGTAGAGCCTGGCACAAATGTGCACTAAGCTATGTCTTCATACCATATTATCGCGATAAGATGAATAGTAGATGAGTCGAGATAATGTAGAAGCAGTCATAAGAAGAAAGACTAAATATTAAAAAAATAGTTTGAAAAGCCAGATTGAAAAGGTATGTATATGCAAGAATATCGCAACTGAAGATCTAGAAGAAGTTAAATTGTGAATCTATCTATGCCTTTGTAAATAATTTTGAGCCATTGCATCCAACACTTCCAACTATTGATCTCGTTTATCGCTCACCTCACAATAAGGTAGTCTGGATAAACCAATATGTGGAACATCCGAATTTTATGAAGGGATTTTTTCACTCATCTAATTTGATTTCTGTTGAACATATAAATCTGTAAAGCAATATAAGCAGCGGTTGTTCGGAAAGAAATACTTTATATGGAGTATGATGGGATACACAGCTAATGTCTGTGGTTTCCTTATAATCATAACTTTGAAGGTTAATCAGTTTTTCAACTCATTCTCTTACCTAATTCATCATCAAAAATCAGAGTTGCTAAGAAAAGCTCGGTCTAATTTGATATGGATTCCTGGTTAGTATTATGAGTTCTGTCATAAAATGTGTGTCTCAAAGCTGAGTACATAAACCTGTAACTGGTATGCTTTAAGTTCTGATATTTCAGGTTCATTACAGGTCTACCATACAGAATAGGGAACGACTGAGCTACTCTAATAAGACTGGTTCTATTATTCAACTCGATAAAAAGAATTATCACACAACACTCCAACAGTTAGCTGCTAACACAGAAGGAAAATTAATTTCTGAAAAACTTTACATTTGAAGTTGAACGAGCAGAACGAGATAAAATGACACCACTTTGCATATATACTAACAAGAAAATGACCTTTAAGCACACGGAAATTTGGTGAACTAAAAACATCTACAGTTAATCAGAAAAACGATGAGTTCATTCGCAAAATTAGATAAAAGGTCATTGCAGTTATCGTTTCTAGAAAGATTTTAATACCCTTAACCAAATCTGAGTAATCCCGTAATCTGTTTATCAGCCTGTAGGTTACATTATGGTAATAAATTGTAAGTGTGAACTCAAAATCTGTATATGTACACAACAACCAAAAAATCTAATTTTGTAATACATGATTTTAGTCTTTTAAAATAATCATGTTTAAAAAAAGTGTGTTCTTTTGTTTTGCTTATCCTGGGACTTGATGACATCTATGTAATTTGTCTAATGTTTCTCACCATTTGAATTTTATGCATTTTATTAAGTTATCTTATTAACCAGCATTTCTTCTTGGTCATTCTCTTGAGAGATGATATTCTATAAAAATATTGTTCATACTTTTATTATTGAATAATACGTATAAAAATCGTTTTTTTTTTCGAAATTAACTTGTTTCTACTTCTCATTTTGTTCAAAACCAACAAACACAAAGATAATTTCAAACTAGATTGTTCAAATTTTTTTGAAATCAAATAATGTTTTAATGATATTTTTACCGGGAACTAAGTGTTATCCAAGGTTATGTGTAACAAAGTCCATTCGGCTTTCGTTTTTTTTAAATGATTTTATTCAACCATGTATCTATATGTATATCTCTTAAATTTTCAGTGACAGAGTCAATATAAATTCAGTGGAAATAAATAACATATTTTTTCTTGCCTAAATTTACGATACAATTAAACATCACAGTACACTTTGTTTGGTATGAATTGATAGTTGAGTTTGTTACGATTGAAAACTTTGTCACTATGTTGTTTTCATCAGTCACATGGTAATCGCACTTTAAATAGTTCACCACAGTATTAGTTGGCATAAATCTAAATATCCTTTGACACACTACATCCTTCAAGAATTTGGAGACACGCGATGTTGATGATAAGTGCTAACCAGTACGACATCTGGATTTAGAAAATATCCCCGATTGCCTCCAACTACCACGTAGCATAAATACCATGTACATTGAGCTAATAACGCGACCACTTCTATTCTTTTCACTCCTGCCTTGCCAACTTGAGTGAAAAGTTCGGCTTCTTAATAGAAGCTTTATTCATGAGGAACCCCGTAGAATTGAATATATATTTAAGTTATTCGTTTATGTATTGGTTACAATGATTACAACTTATGAACTGAATACTTGTCATCGAAAACAAATAAAAGTAAAAATGCATTGAAAGTTCACAAATCATTAAAAGCTGACCTTACATTCACCCTAAATTGATGTGAATTTCCTTCCTCATAAGTTTTATTTGAGGATCGCATATCACTGGCACTTAAATGTTATCATTTTTATTAGTAAAGAGTTTTGTGAAGGTCTCAGGATTTTCATGAAATAGGCAGACCATCATCTAAAATCAGGAAGCATTGGATATCTGTTTCGTTCTAGTATGGGACTACTCAGTAGTGTTCATTTACGACCCAGCCACAGGGAATTGAACTCAAAACCTTTTGCCTCACGTGCGAACGCCTGACCTCCAAACCACTGAAAAATTGTAAACTTCTATTGCAATTAGTTTAATCCATAAGTGTGTGGTATAAAGTTTTATTTCTGGAATTTATATCACTTAACTAATCAGTGGTTAAATCAAAGTTTTTTGTAGACATTTGTCATAATGTCATTCCTATAATCAAAAGAGTTTATGTTTTGATATATATATATATATATATATATATATATATATATATATATATATAGTTATTCTGAATTAATATTGGATTAGATTATTGTGTATTTATTTCCGCCCATATATCTTATTTCCAAATAAAATCTTCAGTTTTGTAATTGCGCTTTGAAGAATCCAGTCGACTATAAGTGTATAAAACAGGTGAGAAATCAGTCAGCAAAAGTGAGACACTAACTTAATTAATTTGCCATCTTGGTTTTTTCAATACAGAAGATTGGTTGTTTTGTTAATTAACAATTATCCTTGCACTACTAACGAAAACCTTCAAGTTAGTTTTTCACAAGTTCTATTGATAAGCTATGACCTGTTGAATCAACCGAGTTAGAAGTTAAACATTAAACAATTCTCTGACAATAGAGTTGATTGAAATCAAGATTATCAATCAATGATTTTAAAACCTCTTGATTCATCATGAAAGTTAACTTTTCTTAGTTCTTTACCATGTATGGCCTTGACTATGCTTTCCTAAAAAGTATTAAACTAGAATAAAATAATTTATTTGTAAGGATTAATCTTTTTCTGGTTGTCGGTGTTCAAGACTACGATTGTTCAGTCTTTATTAGTATATGTTCATCTTGAACAAACTGCCTCACTATTGCCAATCCAAATTTATCACAATGAAATACTTCTTCAGTTTTTTGCTAATATTCAAGAATCATTTGTTCGATAATCTCGGTTTGTGAGGATAATCAATTTCGAATTGTACGTAGTCTCTATAATTTTAACCAGTCACTCACAAGTTTCAATTCAATGCTTTATCTACTTCAATTTTAATAGTTAAATTGTCTTAACACTTTTAATACGTAAAATATATTTTTTATCCTGATACGTAACTTCCATTCGTCAAGCCCCTTCTCATATTAAATTTCTAATGGTTAGAAATCCAAATATTGTTCATGTCTTCTTTTATCCTCAATATTTTTGTATCCACTTATAGCTAGTTAATTGGCAGTCGTGTATTTCTTTATTGGATAAAATTTTCCAGAATATTAATGAAGAAAATTTAATGAATGGTAATATGACAGGTTAATTTTTCATTGATTCATAATTTCGTTTTTTTGTAGCCTAAACTTTTGTTGCATTGATTAATTGTCCAAACAACTTTCTATTTACACAAATCATTTGCACAGATATCTAATAAGGATAGGATTCTTAAAAGTAGCATAATTTTGTTAGCATTATGAGGCTTCTGGAGATTGTTGATTTAATTAGGGAATTATTATAAAACAGAGCTCATTGGATTGCTATTTTGTCTTAGTATACGATCCTCCTGAAGTACATATCCATGACTTCACCAGGGAACGAACCCATCAAGCCTGATTTTTTTATGTCCGATCTTCATTGGTGCTGTAGATGCTAATGTGTTCCATACGAATATAAAATAGATACCTAGTGCTTTCTTGCTTTTATTAGTTGTTTGGCTATATAATTTTTTGTGAGCTAAAACCCATAAAATCAGACAGATATACTGTTGAAAACTAGATTAAGTTTCCGTTTTAAAGAACAATTAAGTCTAGATTGTCATCAATTAACGGTTTTGTGATATAAAGTAGGTGTTTAGTAATCCTTCATTAAGTTTAGGAACTAGGTTTGTTGTGTGCTTAAACGTCTGGCTATCTAGCCTAAAAATGATTATCCACGATATTTCCCGACCATCTTCCATTGTCTTTAGTGAGTAACTGCTTCACACTCAACACGATTGAACTTCACTGGTCACGTCTTCTCACTAGAAAATAATTATTCGTGTTAAATATGTATTCATTATAAATGTCTAACTCAGTTTTCTTAAATCATGAATATTTTTTTGTCATTTTCTTAACTATTTACCAATCAAATATCCTAGGTCATAAACCATATTTGAATAAATGAAATCGAATTCACTTAACAGTAAATACGGTTAATCATAATTCAACAACGATGACGATGACAACAAGCAAAATAACACCAGTTTTCAGTGTTATCGCTCTCCACTTAACCAATTGTAGTTACAAACATACCTTACAAGTTTAAAATATAAATTTGGGCTAAACAATCACAAAAATGTGCGTTATTTTGAGTCACATCAACACAACTCTGAAAAACTTAATCGGAGTTTCTATTTTTATCGAATAAAACAAGAGAAAAAAGATAAATTTCAACAATAAATGAAAGGTATTGAAATAGTCATGTTCAACAATTCGAGTAAAGCAAGTAATAGGTGTATTTGAGACCAACAAAAGTTATTACTATTATTTTTCGGACCCGTACCAGAAACCTTGCATTTCATGACACAGCTTAGAAGAATAGTCAGTGACTTCATGAACTAATATTAATTCTTCATCTGTTTGCCCTTAGCGTTTTCTTTTCCGATCTACTTTTATGTTAGCCAGCATTGTATTGGTGTAGTCGGTGATTAGTCTTGATTTGCTCAATGCATATCAAAACTACTCCATTGTTGTCTACAGACCGATGATTCATGTTTAAAAAATGACATCGAACTTCAGCGTTACTCATTAGCTATCTGTGTTATACATAAGGAATACTTTTTTCGCCATCAACATCATTATATAGCCTCAAAATATGCATAGCTTCTATATCCAGAAAGTATTGTTAGGATATATATTTGGAACTATTCTGATACTTCTCATATTTATTGTCCTAACAACGGTTATAAGTATACCTCCCAACAGTGTACAATTTTCAGAAGTCAAAACGAAGTTGTGACTAGTTTATTTTAACCAAAGCTCAAGTCAAACGAATAACAAGTACATAATAAGAGAGACGAATTGGCGAATGTATTTTAGGATGTGAGGGGATGTATATCATCAAATATGTTTAAGAAACTAACATTTAAACTAGTAAGAGAAATAAGTAAGGTTGTGCCTCTTTACCTATTGTATGCAATGTATTGATATCAGTTTTTTTCAATCTTCCCCTTTATGCAACCTAATTTAGCTCTGCATTATGATGAGAAAACACTTGGAACACTAAACAGTTTAAAAATGAATATATATTTAATCATAAACAAGTTACAAGAATGTTCAGGGAATTCAGTTAATCTGTTGAAACATTCTTCTGTTTCAAAGTTGTCCGATGAAAAAAGGATATATTTTTCAGTATGCCTTTGTCGTTTATTTTATTCATTAACAAGATTTACGAGTAGAAGTGATTTATCTTCATCTGTTAACGGAAACTCAACCATTTTATTCGATAACAGTTCATCATCGTACTCAAGTTATGTCGACTCAATTTTCAATACAATCCGCTCAACGTTTCAATGGTTGGATAAAATTTCTTTAACAAATAATGATAATCAGTTGGTGGATTCTGAAGTTTTAAAATCTATAAGGTATGTTCAACAAGTCATTTTTTTCAACTGTCATTCAACGTTTTGTTTATACTTTACGTTACTGAGTGGTCTTGTTTAAATAACATTAAAACCAAAAAGCATTAGACAGCCATTTCATCCTAGCATCGAACTCTGGCAGTACGCGTCCATAACCCCACCAGAAGTCGAACTCAGCACCCCCATATCTCGCGACAAGCTTGTCACCTTTAGACCACTAAGCCGGCATTCAATTCTTTACATGTCTAATTCCAGCTAGATTTTAATATTGCTCAATTAAGTAAATACAACTTTCAAAGGTTATTAGTCACTTCACGATTCGTAGAGGTGCTGTGTTCTCTGACCTGAATGATTTAATCGTTAAACTTTCATTGTCTATCTAGACAAAATCAGAAAGTATTAAGCCACTAAGATTTCTCTACAATTGTATTTTAGGTCAGCCATTTTAATGTTGCCTTACCCTCATTTCTTCATTTCATTGTTGTTTCCTACTTTTCTGTACAGAGATGAATTACTTTCATTCATTCCGATTATTTATAATTCGTGCGATCTATTTATTTGCAAACTAGACCAATTTCTTTTCGACTATCTCAAAGGTAAGTCTAATTTTCATGTGTTACTTATCTGTTGTCACTGATATTCAATATACTGACTGTAAGTTGTAGGCTTAAACCCTGATCTACTCCAAGCCGAGATGGATGGTAGCTAGCAGTGAAATCTAGGACGCGCGTTTCATCCTATTTGGGACTAGTCAACTGTATGTACGTGCATCTAAGAGTCGACGTTCACAAGCTGGTGAATATCTGGACTCAGCAGCTAAATAGATAGTGCGATGGCGTTTGAAGCGAACGGTACTGGTTTCGAGTTCCGGAGTGAACATCAACTCTGGGATCCAGGCACATTCAGCTGACCAGTCCCACATTAAGAGAAACGCGCGTCTTGGATTCCACTGCTAACCACCATCATCTCTGCTCATAATCCCTGTAACCTAGGGCGATAGCGAGGCAATCCACACAGAACGCACATTTGCTAGTAAGAGACTAATCAATTGAAGTCCTTTATATCAATGGAAAGATCCAAACAATCAATACAAAAAATGGACCCACTCTACGCTGTTTCGATTTATGTAACCTATTAGTAGTATTGGTCATCACATAGCTAGGTATATATAAATCTGTAACTCTTAGCATATGAGATATTCCCATTCAATGAAATGAGTGACTTTAAAGCTTTAAAGAATATTTTCTATACGACTTACTGAATAACCTTACAATGAATTGTTCGCAAATTGATCATGGTTATAATATTGAATGAAGCCAATAAAACCTTGGTCTCGGTTTTCCTTCTGACTAGATCCGATCATCCTAACACTAATAGAATCTATGTAAAGGATGAAATTATCTCCTCTCACACCACCTAAACGAAGGATATTCATATCGTATGATACTGCTCAGTAGTAAAGTGATGTTCAGTAATATCAAATGAGAATGCAAATTGACCTTACGTATCCTTTTATTTCATAACAACAATTTTAGCACTTTACATGTAAGGAATCAGACAGCATTAGTTTCCATTAATTTTTCAGCTGATGTCAGTCCGTCACAAATACTGTCTTCTTTTGTAATTAATTACCACAAAAACAATTCGTGACCAATGAAGTTTGGCCTTGTCAGTATTGAAACAGTTATCACCAACAACACTAGAGAACTGTCGCGTTATATCTAAAGAAAAATGAATAAAGTTGAATCGGGGTTTGACACAGCTGTCTGATGATTAGACTTTGGACAATTCCATACTAGAACAAAACAGCTATCCAATGCTCTCCGGTTTCGATAGTATGCTAATTGAGTTCAATCTGTGACAAATACCACCTGCAGATTTTAGATCAGTTAATTTATTGATAATATTAATAGGTTACTTTTATTTTTTTTAACCATTTCTTTGTGTTCATTTTTTTACAAACTCAAAAATTAGATTGTCAACTGGAACAAATTACATTAAATACTTCGAATAACTTTACAATGGACATTCTCAAATATTGTTCATGTAAAAATTTAAGTTTACTGCAGAAAACAATTAAATTTATTCTTGAAAAGTTTAATAATAATGATATGTTAATGGACTCTGAAAACGTTAACCTTGTCAGTCTTCAATATTGGGGTAGGATTAATTTTTCCGCGAAATTTATTTTCAAATGAAAATATGTTAATGTATTTAAATTTATTGTTTCTAAAATTAGATATGAAAATCGCCCCCTTTCAACAGTCCTTGTTGTATACTGTGTGAGCATTGAGTGTTATCTTGTTATGGCAAACGATTAGACAAGCAAATAAAGTTGCTAAAATGAATGTGTATAATGTCGACTGATCAGTGAAATACAATGATACGATATAATAGAACAACGGGTGTTTCTGTGACAGCATGTCGAATGGATTGATATCTAGACAGAAGAATAGGTTTTTATGTAATAAAATAACATGCTCATACAGAAAATCTTGGCACAAGATAAGTAATGACCACATGTCACGAGCGATTAGAGAAAATCAATTTTGAACGTCACTTATTGTGCAGTCAGCTAAGACTCATTTCCATTTTATAACATCCCTCTTGAAATTTATTTTCCTCAGTATTCGTTGTTTTATTCACAGAGCACATCTTAACTTATTAGACCGTTGGTAAACATATTGAATCTGGTGCATTGATAAAACGTAGTTTGATGAAATAAAATAGTGTAGTGATTGGTTTAACCCTAAGCCTTAGTCTAACCAAACTAAATCTCCTTACATCCTATAAAAATCAATTACGTCCTGGGAGTTAGCAATCACGTTGAAGTAACACGTCTTCATTCGAATATATGTTCGTTGCTCTAAAAATCGACCGGTATCAGTTAAAAAAGTATTTTAATATAATCATCATCTTGACACTCAAACTGGGAGTGCCTCGTTGAATCAGAACCCAAGATATTTGTATTCTGAATGGTTTATTCTCCAAGATACGTATTAAAAATTATATCAATACCCACGTTTCTGTCCTGTATCATTATAAGCTAGAGATGTGGGCTTGGTCAACAATTATCTCAGGTAGGGAACACAGTATAATCGCGTTGTATATTACACTCGCTATTTAAGTTAATATTTTGATTTGTGTGGTTGAAAACGAGTCATACCAGTGTTAATCGTTGCAAGGTAATTTTTCTTCTTTCTATCAAATAACTTTTTCATTGCCTATTACTAATTGATTACATACGAGCATACGCTAGTTACACTTGATTTGTGTCAAGTTCTAATCATAGTGTACATTACCGATAAACTGATTGAAAAGTCATAAATCATTATACCTAAGTTATTTATCAAAAATATTGTTAGCGATGTTTTTCTGCATTACTATAGCCGGTGTTGCCCACTATCCTAGCTGTATTGGTTTCTTTGATCTATCTTGGGGTAAACAATCTAAGATATTCCATCAGGCTTATGTTTTTTTAAAGATATCAATTAGTTTAATATCAATGTTACAACAGTTGTTTCAGTGAACCACAATAAAAGTTTATTGTTTTTGGTAATTGAAATTTTTTTATCAGACTGGTTGGTTTCTCACAATCTCATTTTCTTTGTAGAACAAAATTTTGTTGTTAGAAGTTGAGGTTTATTTAGTTATTTATTTATTTGCCTCTCATCATAGCAGTAAATCATTTCCACTACTTCTTGTCTTTTAACTAACTCTCCAGACGCAGCTGTCATGTTTATGCTGCAGTCTTGTTGTTATGTGAAGTTGCAATTGCTTTCATTGTTTAATATTCAGTTTGCGTAGAATTCTAAGTTTTTAAACTTCATTTATTCACAGTCACATACACACAGGCATGCTCAGATAATGAGTTTATTCGGTATTAAAGCTGAATAATAGGTTATTTCATAGTATTAGGTTTACAAATTGAATTGCAGTTCGGTAATCTCAGTGCAACCATTGATTTTATAGACATTCACGTCACAAATCCTTCATTCTACCAACTACTTTTGTTTGGACAACATTCTTGATTCTCAGTGGAAATAGATTTAACCCACAATCTGAATACGCTAACTGATGCATTGTCTGTCCAACAATATACAATAATAACATATCAGTATGAATATTAGTAATCTTCGACAAGTGTCATGGCGTGTTCTGATCGATCGATACTTCCAAAGTTTAATTTGATTAATTATATACACTAGTCGAAAGGTCATCACATATTTCTCTCCGATTTTGATTGGAAGCAAGTTCAGTTAACGAAAGTTTAATTCGACTATATCGGTTCTTGATAAAATAAAGATCTTGTTTTGAATCACAAAATAACCCTGAATTTCACGTTATTCCCTAATCAAGTACAGATTACTAATGCTCAACTTTAATTTACACTAGTGTGTTAATGCTGAGCTCGAACGAACAACGTAGTTAGTGATTAAGAACCGTGTATTATTTCCATCATATTGTTAGAATATTGATGCATTCGGTTAAGTGGGGACCTCTAAAACGATGAAATACAATTTTTTAATACTGGACAATGAACATTGTCAACTAATGAATATCACTTTTAACATTCATTTATCACATTACATTTTCTATTTTCAGCCAAACTCTTCACTTCATTATTATATTTTATCTGTGAATATTTGATTGAAAATTCTATTAATGATAATACTGATTTAGTAAAACCATCTTCAATTCATTCATACTTATTTGACTTATGTCAAAATGTTAAATATTTCGTAAATATTATCCATCATTACTATGGCAATTCAATGATAAGTGATAATTCTCAAAATGAATCTATACTCAATGAAATCAATAAATTGAATTTCATCTTTCGAACTATCACAAGTCAATGTAATTTATCGTAAGTTCATTTCTATTTCTATTTCCTACCTTTTTATCTTTCTCTATCCAACTCCCTTTCCAATATAATCCTTTTTTTAGTACAATTTATTTGTTCATATTTCATATATGAATATGTGATGATTCATTCATTTAATTTTATCGATTTTTTTTTGAAATATTTTGAAATATCGATTGACCTGAATTCATCCTATCAGTTTATCAATAAATGGAAAATGTTTATAATATATCCCTTGTGAAATATCATTAGCCAATCAATGTCCGTTGTAGAGAAAAAATTTACTAAAATAATATTCGTCATTATGGAATGCGTACATTAATCTTGAATATAATTGGTCAAATTTGAAAGTAGTCACTGATGTTTATGTATATATTTTCGTATATTTAAAAGTACCTTAGTTATTCTAGATTATTCACATTAATTATCGGTTCTTTTACGATTGTTGAATTTTACTGTGTTTAAGGTTTAGTAAGAATAAAAGTGATTAGGAGCGAGAAGAATATTTTTCATAAGTAGACAGCCAGAGCGGCTTATGCCAATCTGGGCCATCTTTGGCACCTTCGTGATGTTACTCTGGCTGTAAAAGTTCGGATCTACAACGCGTCAGTGAGAGAAGTTCTGCTCTATGCTTGTGAAACCTGGCCTCTCCGAGTTGAGGACGTTAGACGACTCTCTGTGTTCGATCATCGGCATTGTGTATTCGGGCACAGAGATGATAATTCAATTGGTGTCACCATCTTGAAACACCGACTTCGGTGGCTTGGATATGTTCTCCGAATGTCGTCCCAGAGAATTTCACGTCGTGCATTATTTGCCGACTCTGGGATTGGTTGGAAAAAGTGGAGAGGTCGTCAGTGTATGACATGGTATCGTGGTATGAAAGAAAGCTGCAAAGGACTGGCTTCTGTTGGTCCTTCACGACTCCCTGGTTGGGGTCTGAGAGATGGTGTAACACAGTGGCTAGAGACGTTATCAGATATGGCTCAGAATAGAAGCCAGTGGCAATCCTGCTGTAACCTTCTTTTACTTTCTTCATAAAAAGTGGTTGTATCTTTTTTAACTAAAGGATTTCTTCTGATTGTACCTTTCCGTTTCCCCCATTATTACCACTATTATTATTACACTACCTTACACCAATCTCTTCCTTACTGTTCATTTTTTACCCTCCTTACCTTTTTTATCCTTCTCTCTAAATTCTCGTTGTTTTGTGTGGCGCATATATATTTGGCGCACTCTTGTACCAATATTTATGTGTCCAAATAAATAAATAAATAAGAGTGATTAACTTATGTGTTAAGATCGTTTTGTCGACATGGTGATATCCACTAAATTAATTGTATTTCAAGCTGATAATCTAATGAATTACTTTTCATCTCTTTTATTTAATGCTCTTCTATTCTGTTGAATTCGAAGAATAAATTAGTCAAAAGTAGATAATCTTTTGTCTATTTTCCATTAACAGTTGAATTTCTAAACAATCGTCATCTATTCCTAATCAACAATCTCACTTTGAATTTGTTTGCTATTTTGAAGGATAGGTGATAGAAAGTTGGATTAATTCATGAGGATTGGTCATAACATCGTTTACTTGAACTTCATAAAAATCTAATTTTCCGTTGACTATAAACTAGAATACCAGAGAAAAAAATTATACTTTACCAGCATAATATCTTAACAGTATTATATATATATATATATATATATATATATATATATATATATATATATGTTCACAGTCGAAATCACAAGCTGATCTTAGCGAGACCACCATTGTAAACCTGGAAGGAGTGGATGGATGTTTTGTAATTATTATTTATTTACTTAAACACATAAACATTCGTACAAGAAGACGCCAAATATATATGCGCTTAATAAGTAATTCTGTATATGTGGGGTCTGCGATAGTGTCCATGTTCCCAAACCGAAGTAGGTGGGGAGCACGCCCTAAGCGTCTGACCTGTAGGTCTAGTCCACAAGGCGGTGGAGCAACGTAAGGAGATGCGGTCCCATGGTAACCGGTCATCAACAATAATTTCATACGCTATTTGTTTCCTTAGGATCCCGGAGTCCATGTGCACCATTGTTTTAGAATTCGAGTTTTCCAGCTAACTCTTCTAGATAGATCTTCCATATCCACCAACTCGGTTATAGCACCGGACATTCGATTTTCGTCCTCTCAATTTTGTAAACAACACCACCACGAGAAGGCATTGAGTAGAACTTCCCTGTCAGTTTTTGTATGCATCTGGCCATGTGAGAATATATCGAGAGGGAGAGGTGACTCTCCGCACTCTCGGCCGTAACAGGGCATCCGGGGAATGGCTTTTACGACTTCATATGGGACTTCTTATCAGAGAGCATCCGCGATCTTCAACTTTAAAATCACCTTATACTTTTATTCCATAAATTCCGTGTTTCCCAAATCAGTTTACCTAGGCCTAATTTTCTTACTACCACTATTACGGTTACTACTCATACTACTACTCTAGTCCTTGTTCTGATATTGTAATCTCACTGCGCTAACAAGTTGTGGCAACTTAAACCAATTCACATATGTGCTAGATTCGACATTGCTTATGACTGGTTTTTCGACCTTATCTGAAATAGCTCAAAATCATTTTTTACTTTTATTTTATTCGTAAACCATCTCGAAATCTTGAATTATATCAATATTATTTCGTAATTTTCATTTTTCGAATTTTTCGTTTCCTTCGTGCATTATGTGTACTCTTATTTTTTTAGAATTTAACTTCGATAATTGTTATTGTTCTGTCTATCACTGAGAGTTTTCTCTTTTAATATCACCTCACAATTTTTCAATGCACTGTTAGAGTAGTATCAAAAATATCCCTCATCAAGTCCCTAGAGCCCTAGAAACCAAGAGAGATTTTATCCAATTATGGTTGAACAGAATTTCCACAGAAACTTCTAGAAAATACAGAATCACGTGCCATGGTTTTGATTGGGTGTTCAACTATACTGCCATTATATTTAGTTAAATTTCAGAAATTTTCAGAGGCCTAAGTTTAGATGTAATATTATAAATATCCACGTTTTCCTGTACATAAACCAAACTCGGAGTTAATCATTTATTCACATTTCGCGCCTTCTCTCTAGTGTTCTTGTTAACGTGTAGTAGTTGGAGAAATCAGAACTGGCTAGAAAGTTAGTTGTCGGTTACAGGATTTATCATACATAATACCAAATAAACCAACTGTTCAATGGTCAAAATTGTTTCTTCTATCCTCAACTATATATTTGACAATCCCTAAGATCGAAGTACACCTTATATGTTAATGGTGAGTATAACTCTATAGGCTCACGAATTTCACGTTTGTGTTTTACTTGGTGACGATCCATAATGTTTTTTTCATATACAACTTATTGGTACCTGTTAGATAAGGAGAATAAATGCAGAAAAGGTGAAACTTTAAAAACTAAACTTTAATGGATTATTATGCCTACTGTTATTAGGTATATTTATTGGAATATTTAATTTACGATTTCATTTGATATTACCCTATTTGTAATTTTTTATTGAACTCATTTAAGGGGTGATATATATTGTACTGTTCATAGATCATGCCGTTTGTTAATTATATATTTGTTACTCAGTTTTGTATCACAAATGAATGACCTAGTCGTGCATAGTTTATGATCTATTTTGTGGTGCGTTGTCTTCTTGTAATCGATGTATGTTATTGTTAAATTTTCTGACTGAACGGCTCATTCGGTTTCCTAAGCTCTTCTAGTAACTCCCAGGCTAAATCTGCATGGCAACTTGAACATGAGAGAAAAAGAGCAAAATATGGAAAGATCGCTGTATTCTAAGGTTAGTTTATGTACAGAAAACCGAAGGTATTTATAGCAATCCAGATGGCTTTAGGCTTCTGGAACCCTTCTATACATATTAGCAGGATAGGTAGTTGTCCAGTCAAAAAGGTGACACGTGACTCTTCACCTTCTAAATGTTTCTGAGAAACTTCTGTTCAATACTGATTGGATAAAATGTTTCCTGATGTTTTCAGGGCCCGTTTGGACTTTTTTCGAAGAGTTTTCTGGGTTTTCACAACAGTTATATAATGTGACCTTTTAAAAATCATAAGAATACAAGGTACTATGATTAGAGATACAAAAATTGTGTCGGTCAATAGGCTTTCATATATCCGGTCGTTGTCGGTATTCATTGGAGTTATTAATTAAACAAGTCATTAGCATTATTGGTGTAAAGTAAACCCATCACTACTGGACTCAATGGTTTAGTAATTTCATTAAGTGGGCATACTAGTGTAGTGGACGCTACTAGCAACGATGTTTGTAAGTAGTGTGTAGCGGGATGCAGTGTCAAAGTTGCAACAACTGTTGAACAGAGTGAAGAGTTCCAGTGGATCGGGAGCACATGGTTGGCAGAATACTTGAAGATCAGACTAGAAGACAGTTCGGATGGCAAGGCACACTGGCAGATGCAAATGAAGGGTTGAAGGCTGTGTATATGTATTATGCAAATAATTTGTAACTTCTCGCAGCAAACATATTTATCTCCCGTCTGTTTTCGTGTTTTACTCTAGTACCTACTTTTTAGTGACTTAGTCGAAGCATAGAATCCTCTGATCACCTTATGCAACAATGCAAGCGTGTTTTGAATGTGGTTATATCTCTCCAAACTCAAAATCTTGCTTCATGATTGGCTCGTGTCGAGGCTTCAATTATTATTGGTAGGGAGTGAAATATTTGATGAGCTTATCAATCTCTTCACTTGTCGTCAGTCGTGATGATCTGGTGTCTGACGAAATCTCGGCACTGATTCAGGAAGATAGATTGTCCCTTTGAAATTGCGTCACTTGTGGCGTAGGCGAGACATCCGCCTGTCAAATGAATGACAAGCTTACCGTACAGCAGTGAAACATGGCCACTAAAATCGAGGATATTCATAGGTTACTAGTATTCGATCACAAGTATCTTCGAAACAGTGCTCGCATATTTTGGGGCTACCGAGTAGTCAATGTTTGAGTTAGGGATAAGAAACTAGGTATGGATGGCAAATAGATTGACGAGGTAGTAAATCTTCATCAACTGCATTGTTTGGGACATATGTCACGTATGCCCAACCACTGTCCACCTCGACGGGCTATGTTATGTGGTGTAGGAGCAGGCTGGATAAAATATAGGGGCAGCCAAACCAAAACGTGACATTGGTCCATGAAATCATCTACAGCTGAATTGGGCTGTGCTAATTTGTGTAGACTACGTGATTGAGATCCACGTGATTATCATAACTAATAGTAAGAGACTTTGACTGATATGACTCGAAATTGTTTGCAATGGCACATGTGCATTCATTTTATCTTCCTCCAAATTCTGAGCTAAATTTGTTTTTATTTCACTAATTTATATTTTCTTAAACCGTATTTTCAATGCCTAATCTTTTCAATCATCACTACCTTTCCCGTTCTAGGATTTAACCTGATCATCTCATCTATCAATGCTAATGAGGTATGACGATTTGAACCGATGTACATACATACCAGGTTTCAAGTTGAGACTGACTGACTCATAAAGAATTGAACGAATGCGTATCCTAATTAGTGGTCTCTCTTTTTTAATTCTTGTAAACTTAGTCTCTAATTAATCCCGCATTTTTCTATCACTGCTAGTGACTATTGAACTAAATTGTTCATTCGACTGTATTTAATGAGTTGTATCCTCATATAGAACAGATTTTTTAATTAATTCATAAAATACACCAAATTTTTTGTCTTATTAAACTTGGAATTTGTGTGGTAACTAATATGTTGTGAAGGTTTTTTTACCGACTGAAAACAGTAACGAAAAAAAACTGAAGGTCAACAGCAAAGTAAAAAAGAAAAAATAATGTGTTCATTCATTTATTCATTCAACCTACACTTATTTTCATTGTATGTATCCTTAAAGCGAAACAAAAATCGATAAATCTTTATGATGAATTTATGTTCAAATGTGAATTATGATTGATTAAATCATTACTCTGTTTGTTTACCTTTTTTGTTCGAATATTTAATTCTGTCTCCCCATACTCTCTTCATTAATCATAAAAATGAAGTTCAAGGTGTTTGAAAGAGGAAAATATCAATGATTCATTTATAGTGAAATCATGAACCGATTGTAAATATTTAGAACTTCTATTATAATTTTAGTATCAAATGTCAGTTATCGACTAGGTAAGAACCTGGCGTAGCGTTATATGCATGAACTCAAGTTTCCACACCTCAAATGTACATAGTTAATAGAAAGCTATTAACGGTAATGAAAACTGAATATTAGAATTGTTATTCATAATTATTGGAATTAGATATAAAAGAATGGAAAATATGTATTAATGATAATAAAGTTCAAAGTCTCGAAGATTACAAATAAATGAGGGCATGTACACCAATATAACAAATAATATTCTATATCGCTTAATAATCTCCAAGCATAAACTACATAAACTGCAAACAAATGATCTGCTGATGGTAATTATCAATGACTTCAGTGAGTTTAACTGTGGACTATTCTGATCGCTTAAAGTCTTTTTCGAATCTATTATCTTGGCCAGCATACACGTGTTCAACACCAACTGCAGTCCACGTGTACTGCATACATGCTTCAATCGCCTCAGTCAACGAACATTCACAACTTCATCACTTAATTCATTATGTTTACTTTATACCTTACACTTTATCCCAACACTACTCACTTGATGTTTCTATTATATCTTAATAATGAATTGATGACACGTGATGGAATTTTAATTGCCTATATATACTTTCTATCATTGGAGGTTAAGTTTACCATTCTAAAGCAATACAGAGGAAACTGCTCTATGTGATACTTTCTTCACAGTCAAACAGGTATCGCGCCTTTCCCACAGGTGAGAAAGTTATCAAAGGCTAAACTAAATTAACTTGGTGTATTCAGCCACAGACTAACCCACTAGATTTTGTGATACTTCTAAAATAAATCTTCATGACTATAACTAATGGAATTCGGTCTCCTGGTGGAGCATCATCCATACTGATTTCCAGAGCGAAAGGGAGAGAGAGAGGTAATCAATAATATATGTCAGTAATCAGTTGAACATCAAATGTTTTTATGCATCAATAAAAAAATCACCTCTTTAATTACTCATAATTCATTTTATCTTTTTAGGTGAGCCTATTCGTAATATTTTTAACGTTCAATAAGCCTTTTATCCAACATTTTGGGTGAGCGCTACATAGTAGGGTCCAATTTTTATTCCAACCGTTAATACTTACGGAATTTGTGCTTCTCAATCGTATGTTTAGCTCTAGACCCTTGAAATAAAAATTATAATGAAAATCACACTCCAATATTTAATACTCTCATCCACTAAATGAACTGCTAAATAGCTGAGTGTCCTTAACTCAACATTCTTATGGAATATTGAGACGTTGCAAAAAAACTCAGTGATATATTTCTTCTTATTCATCCATCAGCTGTGCTGATGATTTCATTCAGAATAACGATGAAAACTCCACGACCAAACTATCCACCTCAGAGAACAAAACTCCACCATCTTATTTAGTTATTTGTTAATTTTTGTTTTGATTTTCTTCTTTAGTGAACAAACAAAACTTTTTCAAATTTATAAACATTACTTTGATCAAACGGATCGTAATCGCCTCAAGGTTAGTTAGTTAACAGATTTTATGAATATACATTAAGCTTTCACATACATGATCTCACATTTTCAATTTTGTGACTGATTGACAGCCAACTTCAGTTTATGAGTCTGAAATAGTTGCACGAAACACTTAATCAACCTCTACATTCCTAATTCAATTTTTCCGTCCAGCGGATGGACAAGAAAGAGGAGATTTTAAAATATTGTTTAAGGGAGTATCGAAAGACAATGTATTGAAAAGTTACGGAAATACACGAAATATTTATAACGGTGAGGTAATATGAACTCATTGATGTTTTATTTTCGAGATTACCATTGAAAGGACTGAAGGTATACTAGGGAAAATATATGCTTTAAATGTTCTACATATAATCACTGAAAAGTCATCTTTCTGCATCATTAATTAAGTCTAGGAAAAAATGGGACATTTGTTCGGATCCTACTCTAATTAACCCTCTGAAGAGCTGTTCTTACTCATTAAAATACCTGTGATGATCCTCAGCCGACTACGTAATTCTGTGTGTGGTAAATGAGTTATCTAAAATATTTTTTAAAACACCACTTTTCATGGAAAAGTATGGAACTTTTTAATTAAATTTCTTCACAAACTGTGAAATCAACTATAAACCTAGTAAAAATAGGTCCAGAAAACAATGAGCATTTCCCATTCATGTGCCTTTAGGTGACCGAACTCACAATTGTCAAATGAAGTAAAACACATTTTCTTCACTTAAACGTGAAATAATAATAACGGCAACATCGTTCTTTGTTACTTTTCAACGTTGGAGATCATGCGATTTTTATTACTGTAATCATGCTATTTTGTCTCTATCAATTTGCTATTCTTTACACTTACCTGGTTTTTCTAGGGAAATAAAAAAAGTAGAATTCACATTCATCAACTCAGCTTATTTTGATCTCTGATGGATCAAACAGTTATTATTGTTACTGAAATCCAATTCATTTGTATTCAAAAATGATTAATTAGATCCCCATGGTTTTTTAATTAAAAATAAGTTGTATTTTCACTGATTTTTTTCAGACGTATCCTGTAACTCTTGGATTGTTTGCAATCCTATGTGGAATTATTGGTGGATTAAGACCGGAGGTAAGTTTTTATTGTTAATTTAGTTCGAATTGGTCTAGATTATCCACTTATTGGTATTTTAACTGGATTTTAATCAGTCTTAGTTGGTATATGTTCACCGTAAAGGGATTGTTTTGATATAGCCGTTTTGATACAAGTTAGTAAAAACTAAATGAAATTTTCTTTGCAGTCGATTCCAGGACACACTTTTCATTCTATTTAGTATTATTCAACTGGATGCACCCGCTTCCCGTTGCGAAATTGAGTAGCCATCTGGTCTCATCAGCTAAGCAAATAACGTCTTAGCGTTTGAAGTAAATGGCGCTAGGTTCAAACGCTGGGGTGAACATCAACTCTGGGATCTAGGTACATCGAGCTGACAAGTCCCCTATAGAACGAAATACATGTTCTGGATTCTATTGTTAACCACATTCCAGCCCTTTTATTCTCATTTGTTTATTGTCCATTATCGTGAAATATCATTATTGTGGTAATCTTAGTGTTGTTTGAATATATATACTTCAAAATATGGATTATTCGAAGAAACAATTGTTTTCGATGACTTCATCCTCAGGCTTATCAATTATAAATTTATAATTATTGTATTGCAGTGTCCATGATCAAACACGAGTAGTGAATAAGTTAAAAGGAATGAAGCCATTCTGGTCTTATATTATATCTAAAGAATCAAGATCATAACAGTTCCTTTATGTAGTTAAAGCTATCGACATGAACTCCAACAGAATTAATTAATGTATCCGAAAAAAGTATATTTTCACTCTGCTCTATTCAACTTGTTTGTTAATTCGTATATATTTCTTGTCCATAATTACTATGAAAATAATTCGCTTAGTGCATAGTATATTCACATGATTTAATTATTAGTTTTATTGCCTCAGTTAACTTGATATAACAATTATCCTACTATGTATCTTATTTTATGATGTTAATTGTATTTTATCACTTTGTAAAAAATTTTCTTATCCCTTTGATAAATGCCTTTTCGAATTGTTAAATAACACGTTTTAAATGTTTTTACGCTGTTACGGATCCGATAGTTGATCATTTCTAACATGGGACTTATTTCTGTATGCATCACTCTAACTATTATAATACGATAAATATGAATTTATTACTGTCGCACCCGATGATAAGTGATTTGACAACATTCCTCTTTTTTTTCTACCTTATGGAGATCTTTAGACTCTGAATGCATAAATGTATATAAGCAGGTTTACCTACAGGAACCTTGTTAAATTTTTTACTATTTCTAAAGAGTTAGGCTATGTCATCTTGGCGACAATTGAGCATTTGAGTCACTACAATGACAGCGATACAACGATTTCACAAAACCGTTTAACCGGTAGTAGCCATGGTTAATGTCTACAAGGAACATAATCAATACATGCTTATAACTTGCACATAGCAGGAATTTCTTTTATATATATTGTATAACTCAGCTTTATCTGCATTATTTAGTTTGTAAACTCTGAAAATCCAGTTCAACTGTTGAATTGGATTATGGATAATATCCAAAATATTCTATGTACATCTTCTGCTGCCCCCACTGTCACTAACACCATCAATAACCCTTCAGTGCCATCATCTGTTGTATTCTGTTATTCAACAACCATGTTGTCATCTATTGCTCAAACATATGCTTCTGTATTGAATAAATCAAATGATACTTTTGCATTAGGTAAGCGGTTCTTTGATATTTCCATCTATTTTTTAATGGAAAAGTAAATCATTGCGATTGTCCTCTCTTTTTCAGCTGGAATAATTCCTTTTGAGTAAAAGTTAAAAGTAGTGTGTATTTTTAGTAGGATTTGGATAACATTTCGTTGGAGCATGTTGATCGACCCATTTTAACCACTTAGCGCTAGTGAATCAATGAAAGAGACTGGAATCATTCTATGTAAAAATTAGCAATCAATCAGCATTTATCTTACTGTATCAACTTACCGTTAGCTTGCTGTGTGGTTTTGTAATATAATTTCTTTCCTGTTCAAGTTATATTCTAATTTGGGGACCAGTCAATTGGACTAAAATATTTCCAAGCAATGCTAGGCAATATAAGTAACTGGGCCAAATAAACAAAATTTAACAGTATAGAAGTCACTCGCTAACATTGTTTATTTTAAGCATTTGATACCGGAAGTAGTTACCTGAGTAATCATAAACCTACCTTGTTTATTTGTTGCTAATTTCAAAATGTAAATGTCGTTTGAGATGGAGTTACTCGCATTACTAGGCAATTTTTTTAACATGTGCAACCACTGCACGCTATTTTATGTAAAGACAAATTTTTTTTATGTATTCGATTAATCTCAATAAATATTCAATATGACAAATTGGTCACTACTCCATAACCGATTACTATATAATTGCATAATTACATATAAATTTTGTAACATTGTATCTTGTCCCCATTCACCCTAGAATATCTGTTTACAACAATTGAAACAAGTATCTACATTGTTGCACATTGAATAGTATAATATCTTATCGTATTTGATATGATTGTTACGGTCTTCAGTTTTTATCTATATTCACATTATGGAACTTTACAGCCCATGTATAATGAGTTCGCTTTACGTTTAACATCTGGCCAATTAAAAAGTGACCGAAAAATCCTAATACTGCTATTCCAAAACAGCGCCCTTTATCTTCAGTAACTATTCCAAAGTCGAAAATCAAATAAATCTGCTTTTATGACTCAAAAACTCGTAGCATTTTTTGCATTCATTACATACGAAACAAATATATGAAATTATAATTTGTGTACGACTCAGTCATTAGAAATACAAAACAGAACAATAAGTGCATAATTGATTAACGACCATTGCTAACCGATATATATATATATATATATACCTGGACAAGATAACATCCGGAAAACATTGATAATTAAGTAGACAAATTCAACATATATAAGTTTATCTATATCGCGTAGTGACGTACATGATAATCAATTAGATCGCGCCATATATGAGGAACTGACTACTCTTGAAATCATAAAGTAATTATTACTCCTTTAAAGATGTTAGACAGAGTTGTCGATCCACGCCACTCTTACGAGCTACAAACTCCAAATTGAAGTGAGCTGTGAGAATTTCTTTACAAAAGAATAGTGACTTGTTCTATTGACCTTAAATTTGATTGATTGACGTTTACTTTTGTTCTACCAATGTCTGCATATGCGTTTTGATTGTCTTATTTCTTGACCTTATAGTTATTCATACTTTTTTCAATTTCAACAATAAGGTCAAGGAAAATGGTGATCAAAATGAACATACAGATAATAACTGAATAAGTATCAACGTTAACTTCAGAGTTGACAAAGCGAACTGCTAATCACGCCTAGCGATTCTCATAGCTTACTTCTGTATAACGTTTGTCCTGATTATCTGTTATGTCCTCGTCTTTTTATTACTTATACTTGTAAACAAGGAACCACTACAATTCTCACAACGCGAAATAAGAACACATAGACTGGTACAAATGAAGATATAATCCATCCAAAACACGACGACAACCCTAGAGGAAAATGCACTCATTTATATTTTAACTTGTATGATCATTTTGTACGAAAAAGTCACATATGAAATTATAGCGAAATCACACGCTGCATGTTATTTTAAGGATAGTTCACGTTAATTTAATACAAGAATATATCTTCAATAAACATCACACTAAAGTAAATCAATGTTATACTGAATAAAATGGCACAGTGAAAAACCATCATATTGAACTAAAAAAATGGAAGGAATGCTGAATAAAAATCACGAGTTAAAAACGTTGATTTGCATTCTCATCCCGTCATATCATGATAGTGTTGTTTAGAAAAACAATGAAATCTTGGTTACCAAGCCACTCAGTCAAGAGTGAACGATGTCAACAAAATTATCTTGATTGGTTACGTATTTTCTCCTCCACTATAAGGAGTCGGGAATCAGCATGTGTAGTGTAAAGCTGTTCAATGTTTCTTTACGTTACATAGTACTTCAACTAATGTCACCAACATCAGACAAATTTAAGAACGAAATGTTCAACAATAAGATAAACCATTTTTTCATGGAATAGCTCATAAAATCAAACTAAATCTCGCTATTGATCGTGAACTGCTATTGACCACTGAGTTTAAAGTATTTTTGTAAATTTTGTTTGTTTCTTTTCAGTAGTGGTCTCTAAATCATTCAGCTTTCAACCAATAAGTCACTGGTTCAAACCTTGCCTTTTCTACCCCACTTTAAGCCCTATCCTTAGCCCCCATATATACAAAAGACGTAAGACTCAAAACCCGTGCTACGTACAAATGTACTTGATGATTTACACTTATTACTGTTATTATCGTTCGAGTAAATTGAGTATTTCATACACCAGGTGCTCATCATTCCAACTGTATATTATATAAGATGTACTCCTGTAATAAATAAAGGTTAACAAGCACAAACCTCTCATTCATTTCCTAGTGTCATTTTGATTATCCTTTCTAGTTTGTTTGTTCTTTTTTTCTTCTCTATACAGATATTACTAATCATTTGTCCACTAGTCTAAACTACTTTTGGTCAATAACAGGACAGAATAATTCTGTTGATTTGCATACATTCATTTGTTTTTGGCTTTTATGGTCGATTCGCGGTCTATTGGCTACATTGAATGTTAGTCTTCATGGTGGTAATAATGTTGACAATAATAACAATGATTATTATCATAGAAAGTGGTGTGACTCTCTTATACAGTCAATTTTTCTTGATTTTAACACAACTAATCACGATGATGGTGATGATAATTGGATTTGCACTTTTGAGAAGAGTTTATCATCATCACATCGTCGTATTCTCTGTTCAGTCGATTGTTTTAAACAAGCTGATCAAATACTTTTAGACTTAGGGATGAAATCAATTGATTGTTGTTTAAATAGCTTCAATCATTGTCGTATTACAGATTCATATATTCCAAATGTTTTGGAGTGTATTCATGAACCTGTTTATAATCTAATTCATTTATTGATCAATGTAACTAGACTTCAATCACTAGATTTTGAAAAAAGTATCTTGTTCAAATCGTTTCGAAGTAAGTGATTCAAGTGATAATTTGTTTATATCTGTATACACTTTTAAATTTAAGGTAGACGTTATGCTTTTATTTTTTGATGCCAAGTGTTCCGTAAGAAAAGTGGTTTATATATTGTGCATACTACTTATACTGACAGATATAAGTAGTATATAACACCTACCTACCACCAGTAGATTGAGTTGAAGAGAACAGAAAGAGAATCAGAATAACAACAAAGTTGAAAGAATCATGAAGCATGCAAAGGAATACTGATGGAAAATGTGCAAATAATGTATTCAGTGTACGCTTATCATATTTTACGTTTGTTCACTTTATATATACTGTCTCATTCTATATATCATCATTGATTGTACTGACCAGTAAGACAAGTTAGGTGACGTTGTGGGAAATTCCACACAGTATGAGATATGGTTTAAGTTATGCCGAAAAGATATGTATTGTTCAACTGTTTTGGTAGCGAATAGGCGTATTGTCTTATTCTTTCATTTTATTTACATGCAATTGTTGGCATAATATGGGACTGAATAATAGCTTCACACAAAGTGGTGTGATCGTATTACGAAAAAGTGGAGCAGAGAAACATCATAAAATTGGAATAAATGTAGGAATCGAATTCGAATTTCATGGAAAATAAAATTACATTTCATCTACGGGGACTCATGTTTCTTTAATTTAGAATATTAGTTACAAACAGGGTATATTTATAGGCCATTGGGTTCCAACCAGTTCTATGCAGCTATCTTCTTTACTACAGCAACATATTATAAATTGATCACTTCGTTTATATACTACATAGCTCCAAAGATAAAAAATAACAATCGGGTATTACATTCAATAAGCATCATCAAACCAATTAAACTGATGTCTCAAGATGTTGAAATTAATTGAGTTACCACAATTGCTACTGAATACTATCAGCTCTTCATACTGCAAGTAATCCTAAGCATTCTTTGCTCATAGGAGACATAGTTCACAGATATAATATTTAACTGCTCACTCCAACGCATTGTTAATCTAATATTTTATTGTGATAGCCCCGTAAATAATGGCCAGAAGCATAACGAGTAGAATGGATATGTAATAATTAAAAGGGCTATATCAAAAGTGACATCAGACCCTTGCTTTTTTAAGCGAACGAAAATATAGTAATATAGTTGTAAACTACCAGAATATTAATTTTAAAAGCTTTCCAAAGTGTCTTAGTATGTTTTTTTCTTAATTTGGCCAGCTTTCGAAGCATTATAGTCATACATTGTTTACAACTAGTTTCCCCTTTCAATTTTATCACACTAATTCGGTTATACTGCATTGTTTGTAATTGTGTACAATTTTGATGCGTTTTTCAAGTGAACATATAAACATATATTGGTGATAATTAATTTAACTGTGAATAACACGTGTTTAAATGTTGATTTGTATCCTGGTTTTTACTAGTTACTAATAATATGACTTTGATCAGTCAATCACTCGGTTATATACAACTTTGAACCTGGTGCAAATAATCTACGACCTGTATCACCACCGTTTCATAATTTATATGACGGAGAAAACTAAGCATACAGAATATAATGTGTTCACTAGTGACTAGTTTTAGGAGGTAATTCCCTAAGTTTTGTTGAGAAACCGTGACCGTTGGGGCTCAACCATACCGGTTATGAGACAGTTGGCACATAGAGTCAGTTTCTCAATATTTCGAGATGATTGAGATTAAGCAAGTAAACCATTGGATGCCAGCTTAGTTATCCAAAGACTAAGCACTCACTCTAAGACGCGCAGGTCCTAAGTTTAGTCTCAGTAAGGTCGTAGATGTGCTCTTTTGAGGAGTTTCATACTAGTACGAAACGGCTGTTCAGTACTCCCTGCTTTTCAATAGTCATTTAACTAAAATCAGTCGGCAATGTAAACTATGAAACATGGAATATAATCAGAAAATAACCAATAACATTAAGTAATAAGAAGTACAATTCGACAATGATAGTAATAATAATATCACTAATAATATTTTTTCTGTTTCCTCCTTTTCATCCCACTTTTTACATGTTATTAGACTCAATAGTAAGGTTTTATTTGAATATGACTGTTCGATTGCCTAATGAATATCTCACTGATCAGTCAGTAAATAAAGTAAGCGTGTTTCTAGTGGTGTATTCGTTTTATTCTCAGTGATGATTTTTTACGATTCATTAAACAAGATATAACATTGTATTTTGTCATGAATTAATTCCACAGATTACTGGACAAGGTGTTATACGCTTTTTAATGACCCTTTCTTAATTCTGCACACTATTTCGCATAGGACAGTAGTACACAGCACATCTATCACAAAATATGATAGTTTCAGACTCTTAGTTTAAATACAATGGTTGAGATTTTCAAATCTATTCATTTAGTAATATTATGAGATAAATTGTCTCACTTCCAGCTTGAGACCGTGTAGCTTTTTCATATTCATTTGATTATTTTTGATAGTCAACTAAATTTCTATTCTTTACTAATCTTTCATTTCAGTTCTATTGAGTTGCGAATATATATAATTCGCTGAGAATAACTCAAATCTCTATCTCATCTCTTAATAAGTAATAGTTGACAATAAGAGTAAATTAAAATACTCGTCCTATCCGGAAACTTTTACAGTCACATCAGTAATATTTAAACTGAATATATTTGTTATTTAAGCGTGCAAGTGTATAAATTACTTTAATCTACATTATTATAGTACATTTATATTGATTAATCAACCAATTAACTGAACGTTTCATTGCAATACTTGAACAGTTTAAAACTAATATGCTACTGACATGTTTCACTAAGCTACGGCTTTTACTAGAAAGTAGTTACATAAGGGCTTTTTTATCTTGGATTATGCAGTTCTGTTATTATCAATAGGTTAGTAGTATCTCTTGTTATTTTATGCTTTTGAAGAGTCTTGTAGATATTGTTTTACGCTGTAACTTTTACTCGTCACAGTTTCATCTCATTAGAAGTATCACCGAAAACCATAGAGCACTTGACAGTTGTTTCATCCTAGTGTAAAACTTTACAGTTGTATGTACTCATGACTCCACTAGGAATCGAAATCACAATCTTCGGGCCTTACAGCGAACCCTTAATTATTAAAACTTCTGGACCAACGCTCAGTTGTATAATTTCAGCTTTAATTTGTTATATAACTCGACGATATTCCGATCCCACTGATGATAATTGTTTCACCAAGGTGCTCCCTGATTTTCAATAGTACCCTAAACGATATTTAGATTGAACTAAACACTATTAAGTCAACATCTCTGTAAAAACGAAGAGCTGTTAAAACTCTTTTGAGAAAATTATGCCATTAAAACAGATTAAATAATTGGTTAATAAAAAACATGAACCATGAGTTTAGAAAAGATATTCTTGATTACCTAGCTTAAAATTGTCTGTAGTGGTCTATTCAAATGACCTTTAACTCAGTGGATCTTTATATAACTTACCAACAGATCACCCTTTTATATTATCTCAAAAAGGAGGATACGTTTCCCACTACTTGCTGATTCAATGTGCATATATATATAATCAATAAGTTTATCACTAACAAAATTTGTATATTCATTTCTAAAGTGTCATATCGATGTCTTCTTTTACATTCTCACTTAGATAATACCATCTGCTTTGTTCGCCATCACATCATCTAATCTTCACTGTCAATTAGCTGGTTTGAAGTTTATATCAATAATCTTCAGTGATAATTTGACAAAAAACCTTGAATTACGCAAGATTATCTCAGAAAATCAAGCTGATGATCTATTGGAGAAATTGCCAAAACTAATCCATTTCTCCAATAGTGACCAGGTTTGTTCTAGTTGTCTTTCTTTACTAATTTTCTTTATCCGTTTATTACCTTGTTGCAGATGAGACGAGTTTCAACAGGACATTTTTAGCTGTCGTTTGAATGAGACTAGTTTGATTTCATTAGAAAAATTAGCTTTTTGTGATAGTCCAATCACATAGTATGTATGTGTGACCATTTTAGTTACCTTCTAACCGCCAGAGGGAAAGTCCATTCTATATTACTTCGTATTTATAAAACAAAGCCTTCAAAGACTGGTAATATACGTACGCTGTAAGTATTCGCTCATCGATGCCTTCAAACCATCGCGTACGTATTAATAAAACCACTTAACATATAACTTTGAGGTTATTTGTACGGTTTCAAGTGAAGAAGCTATAAATCGTTAATATTTTGAACATTTGTGAGTGTTGTTTTTCTTTTCTTGTGAATATTTCTATTTGATTAAATGATGTTAGTTCATAAGACGACAACTACCCCAGTATACTAATTTATGACTTGACATCAATAAATATCACATTGTCCAACCCTCCTTATTGAATAAATTCTGTCAATCAACTTTGTGCAGTATTCGAGTCTGATACGGATACACGAAACTTCTTATATGCAAGACCCTATTGCCTACTTAGTGAGAAGACTAAGAGTAAAGTGAATTTATTGGTGTAAACGGAATCATATAAATTAGGAAACGAAACAATCTCCTGGCCAATAACGTGTGCCTGTCATCAGGAAAATTCCGATTGATACTGTTTCAAATATACCAGGTAATCACTAGTCTTCGCCAATACATTTCGTTTCAACGCTAAATCCTTGGAAGCAGTCAGTCTGTAAAACACTATACTAACCGCCCATTGATAATAACACTATTTGTGATACTAAACAAGTATTCACATTTTTCGAGCATTCTATATGATATGATTTTATTGGCGCATATCAAAAAGATTAATACCTGAAGTTTAGCAAGGATTAGTGTTCGTTTCTAACCAATCAAAGTTAACTGTAAGTTCTTTTCAATCACTTCACCTTATTCTGATACATTTATTTATCACTACTTACTGAAGCTTTCCTCTTGACTTAATATTTATTCAAGGATACTGTAATGTTTGGTCAGGAAAATGAACAAAATATCAATATTTTAACTTGTTCACGTTTAATTATCGCTCGTTGTCTGTGCAGCATTATAAAATTATTTCCGGAACAATTGATTAATCGTCATCGTGATGTAAATATTCTACCATTGTTAGATCAATTAGTTGATGATCCCAATCGATATGTACGTATTGAAGCAGTTCAAGCAAGAAATTTATGGTTGATCTGATTATTTGATTTACTTATTGAATTACTGATAAATTATAAAATCCTAACACGATATATATGGTTACTTGATAAATTACATCAATGTATATAGAAATATATTCATTTATATTTTTCAGATAATTAGTTTTCTAAACTGTTCTGTTACTTTAATTTGAAGTATATATATAGTTCAGAGATGTAGATGGTTGACTTACAACAATCAACTTCCACTGTTTTTAATCAACTGTATTTAACTCAAATATTGAATAATATTGTAACTGTGCTCTACTCACGCTCGATACTGTTAAACTTTGAATTTATTGGGGTCTACAGTAATTCCTAGTAATGAATGATTAGAATTCTTCTAATGCGAACTCCATAGCCTGGATGACTGACCTGTATCAATTGGATGTATATTAATAGTTATTACTGTAAACTATGAATTGAATAGCGTCATTAAGAACATGAAGACAGTAGATAATGAGTTATTTGACATTTAAAATAAATCAAAATGAATATGTAAATACATTAATTTTTATGGGATTTACATTGATTGACAGTCAGATATGTACACATTAAACTGAATAGTAGTTGACATTAATCATGTGAATACATATTGACAAAATTATAATTTCAATCCTCTATAAGCGATAGATACAAACGACTTACTAATTTATATAATTAAACCTTCTAAGGATGATTGAAAATAATTAGTTTCGTATATCACTTACAATTTGACCAGTCAAGTCCTTGCTCACCATATCTTGGTACACTATACTTCAACAATAATTCTCAACACGATAGAAAATAGGAGTTGGCCAGTTCACGAGAAGCATGATATTCAGCAAGACAAATTTGAAGTAAAACAACTGGATATATGTAGTAATAATAATACATGGCCATGGGACATAATGGAATTAGCAAACTGGAACTGAATAGAGTCAATCTATTGACAGCGTAGGTCGTTGTGTAAAATATAAATTAGAAAAGTGTTGTTAATGCAGAAAAGAACTAACATTTATTTACAGCAAAAACCTGAGTTATCTGTAGACCTCAGCATGTACAAATAATATTTAATTCTTTATTTTGGTTCCACCTTTTATATTTGTGATGTTTTGACATTCTTATCAATTAAAATAATGTTAACAACTTGGCTTTTTTGCTATCAATAATTTGATATGATGGTTACTATAATATGAAATTTAGTATTAGTCAAGTGGACTTAATGAGTTATTGATAATTACATAAGTCCGAGAAACTTAATTGTCACATTACTTACTTACGCCTGTTACCCCTCATGGATGAGCACAGACCGCCCACCAGCAGTCTTCAACCAACTCTGTCCTGGACAATCCTTTCCAGATGCTATTCATTCTTTTGATTTCTTCTTCGAATCCCCGACACAATATGTTCCTTGGCATTTCTCTTCCGTTTCCCTTCAGGATCCCAGGTTAGCGCTTGTTTCGTGATGCAGTTGTGTGATTTCCACAATATATATCCTATCCACTTCTAACGTCTTTCCCAATTTCCTCCTGAGCTGGAAGCTGATTTCTCTCCCACAGTAGGCTGTTAGTGATGGTATCTGGCAATCGGATATTGAGTGTCTTGGGTAGACATCTGTTTATAAATAGTTGTACATTTTTTGATGGTTGTGGTAGTTTTCAAAGTTTCAGCTCCATACAGTAAAACTGTTTAGACGTTCGTACTGAAGATTCTGATTTTGATATTGTTTGACAGTTGTTTTTGGTTTCATATGTTCTTCAACTGTAGGAATGCTGCCCTTATTTTGCCAATCCTTGCCTCTCCTATGTTCATCGATTATGATGACCAGGTACGAGAAAGTTCCTACCTCTTCCAGAGTTTCTCCATCAAGTGTGATTAGATTGATGTTCCCCTTGTACTTCGGGATCTTGCATTGTCACATTACAATATTAGAAATTAATCATGTTAGTGTGGTAAGTTCGTCATCTATGTACTCACAAATAAATTTCCATTCGACTATGAACAAGTTTTTTTAATCTTATTAAGTATTTTCAATTGGAAAATGTATTCAATACTTAGCTAACTAAATCGCTTTTAAAGCCAATTACAACCATTTCTTCGGTAAATAACTATACCTTTCTCTGGAATCGTAGAATATTGAGTTTTACTCCTTTTGTTTCAGTGATGGGATGACCACTTTTCTATCGTCTGGTCCATATTATCAGTATAGGTATGCACCTCTTGTGTAATATGTTTCGAAATTCGGTTTTTAAGCATTACCGGTTTATGCACTTGGCTTTGAGTCATATTATTGATTTGTGTTGGTAATACTATTAAGAAATTACTCACTGGCATGTACTAAATACACTTTACACGATATGTTATGAAGTGGTTGCATGAGGGGCAAAGCACCCGGCTGTTTACTCGTAAATCGGTAATCTTCAGCCCCTTCCATCCACGTCCGATTGTCTGTCCTGTAAAGACATTGAAACACGACATAACTAACGGGGCGCAATACCCATTTTCGCTCTTTGTGCCTTTGGGTTTCCTTTCAGCCTGGACGCTGTAGGCCACATGATTGATTATGGCTTCTTAAAGCAGGTAATGTCTTTTTGCATCTTTTGTACGAGTATTTATGCAGATTATTATATAATTTTACATGTTTCTGGAGTTACTGTTGGCTCAACGTCCCATTCGTGTTCAATGTGACGTTTTTGATTAAGCTGTTTAGGTCATTTATTTTGTGTTTTAACGAAATATTCATTAGGGAATTTATATTCCCGTGAATTTTTCTTTTAGATCTAAAATGTGATCATTTCTGTTGTGTCGCTTTTTTACAGTTGCAAACATTCTACTTCAACTGATATCGGGGAATTTATATGGAAGATTTCCTATTCCTTTTATTTTTTGTTTATTTTACTAGCAGTGGGTGTATGCACGTGGTCATGTGAGAACATTTCGAGAGAGAGAACTGACTCCCCACCCTCGGTCGTACCAGGTCATTTGAGGGCAACTATGCTGGACTCCACCATCTTGACTTTCTTGCCCAGAATTAGTCGAGGGCATGTTTTTGTAGCAATTTCAGCTTTATGATTTCATTATCGGGTACGTATAGGGTCAGAGGTGATTTCAAGGTCAGGGAAAATTCGAGGAAAGACATCGAAGTTAATAGTAAAATCTGATAATCGTGCAATCAGGTTTAAGAAAAGTAAGGTGTTATTTTCTTAGATATTTCCATAGAAATCGATCAGTCAACGTTTTTTCGCTGATTTCGTGTGACTTCACTGAAAAATTATTTGGAATCGCTGGAAATTCCACGTATCCTCTCCCCTTTTGTCTATTATTGACTATTATATAACCAAACTTCATCGCTACTGTATTATTTATAACAATCGGTATGAATAATAAGTGTGTAACCAACCAGTGCGGAAAAACAAACAAATAAGTAAACAAACGTTTCAGTATATTTACTTTCTCAAAGATGAAAGCACTGAAAAATTAATTTAATAATTTTGTGAAGAAGTCTGATAGGAAAATTGGGTCATGGGCTTATGATAATAATAGTAAATACGAATAATAACAGTTTATATACTTCAAAATACAAAAAAGGTAACTTCTCAGATTTATTTACGATGTACGTGTCTGCTTTGCGATGAGTAGACAAATAACGAGCCAAGAAAGTAAAGGAATACTTGAATTCACTTTTGGAGAGAAAAGAAAATCAGGAAGACAATGTCTATTCAAGGCACAAACATTTATGTTTCAAACGATTCTGGTTTTTGGCTAAACTTCAGTTTTTTACGAATAGCAATTAGTTAATTCGAATAGAGAGATCAAAATTATTCAGACAATAACGATGACGAAATTGTAAGTATTGTGAACACAGTTGAAGAAAGTAATGTAAAGAGAAGTTGAATGTTTAGTATCCGTATACTACAACATATTGGTATATGTGCGTTTATTTGTATATTGTACACGCGGAACCGAATACGATTGTCATTTTTATCCACAATTGTCCATCTTAGGTAGTAACACTATTCACGATGTTAATGATATCATGAAATCTGCAGGTAGATGATTATGGTGAATACATATGTTTTAAATACAAAACAACAATGAACATGATAAACTCTGTTATTTTCCAGTCGCTGTTGTTGTTATAGAATCAGTGTCACATATAAACGTGATACAACATTCTCGTCACTCCTAGTTTGAATTTCTCAATCGTTAATACATACAATCACCAAGATTAAAAGTATACACATATTCAAAATCTTAGGGAACAGAAAACGATAGAGAATCGAAGACGACAATCTGATCACTAACATCGAATGTAAAAAGTTTTAAATTAACAGAACTGAAAGAATTTGTTGGCAATCTTAAATCAACGTTGAAGAGATTAAATTCTCCTTAAAAATGAAAGTGTTATCACAGACACATAGAAAAAAACTACAATAAGATGTATAGGACTGTAGAGACTAAAATATCTTAAAGAAATTGAGCATGCTATGAAGCCAACCGAAAACGATAGTCAATAAAAAAAAAACAATTAAGAGCTGAATGTCGAGAACATATTAAACGATGGAAAAAGTGAATGTATATGCTTTTTTTGTACAAAATGAGTAAAACTTAAGCGGAACATCCCCCCCCCTCAATTGTACACAAATATTTACTGGTCACTCGGTTATTAAAAATTATTTGCTGACTGATAAGATCGGGTAGAAATTCAATTGATGTGGTGATATATCCCAACTTCCCATAGAAATCCTGGTTTGTTTTTGTTTTTTATCAATTCCAATTCCCAAACTTTAAGTCATAAGTGTAGACGACCTGAGGAATAGGAAAAGTTAAACATTTAATATTTTTGAAATAAAAAATAAACTAGTTTAAGGACAAAATTTATGTGAACTAACATGACAACTATCAGGAAAAAATTGTTTAGAATCTGTACCTCATCACTGAAAGAAACATTATAAATGGATTATAAATACCATTTCCTCATGAAACTCAACAAATACAAATCACGATTCTCTGCTTTAATTTATTACGTTAGTAAAGCAAAATATTCTTCGAAAAAGTCCAGAGGGGTCGTAAAGACGATGAGAAGCATTTTATCCAATTAGCGTTGAATAAAAGTGTCTCGGAAAAATCCAGAATGCAGAGAAACGTGTCGCATTTCTGATTGTATGACTACCTATCCTGCTACTATGCTTAGCATGTCTCCAGAAGCCCAAGGCTATCTGAAACACTATAAACACGCTTAATTTTCTGTATATTAACTAACCTTGGAGTAAAGCGTTCTCTTCACGCTTTGTGCTTTTTCTCCCATGTTCAGGTTGGCATCTAGATTTAGCCTGGGGTTATTACAAAAACTAAGGAAACCGATTTTAGCGTTCAGTTAGACTTATCAGAATGTTGAAACAGTTACATGGATCAAAAAAAGAAATGTCTAAGGATCGATGAACTCAAAAATATATCAAATCTCACATAAAGATGTAATCAAGTTGAGGAATCTCAAAACAACCGTCGTGAATAATTGTTTTTCTATCTAAGTAACTATTTTATTAAGCAAAAAATAATAACAGGCAAACAAATTCTGATTAACCCAAATATTCAACGTAAGACTCACTCACTCCCCAGCTCCAACAGTTGATTCCAATTTGATCAATTCACTATTACCGATAGACTCAAGTTTATTAGCCAATCCACATGATCCAACATTATCTTTTCGATTGATTTTATCATTTTTATTTACTAATGAAATAACAGTTGAAGTGGGAGAAGTTACATTGTTACTATCGTTGTTTTTCTGTTGTTGATTACTCCCAGTTCCTTCATCACCTACAGCTCCACCTTGTTCCTCTTCTTCATCCTCCTCCTCGTCATCATCTTCATCATCATCAACTCCATCATCTGGATTACCACCACCTTCAACATTGACTAACATTTCATAGGTTTCAGCTGCATAACGATCCCAGTCAGATAGTTCATTGAGTCCTTCTTCAATATCCTGTTATGATTTTTAAAAAAGATCCATTTTTTAGTTAAAATCAGTAAATATTAACATTTATGCATCATTCTTAAAGAAAAAAATAATTAATAATTGTTTCTTTCATCACAACAAAATGTTGTAATAATTCTATCATATATATAACTGTTATGGATTATAGCATAGTGGAAAAGTCAGACTAACTTGTTTCTCATTTATTTTCGTGAACATCTGAAAATAAAAATATATTCTGGCTTATATTTTATGGAAGTATAATCATCACTAATGATATACTACAACAACAACTACTACTACTATGATGTCCTAGTTAACTGATTTAAACCACTAATTGAAAAAAACTATTGAAGTGACATAAATATTAGAAAGTTTGTCTTTGTTATTGTTCATCTTCTAGAAATGGATTATATATTAGAGTTTTATTTTGAATTCAGATTATAAAACTATGATTCTTGATTTCACAAAATCAATTCATTTACAATGTACAGAGATTTGTTTGATTGGCTTTGAGTCATACTCTAATATGAGTATTAGTGATACTATACGTTTGTTAAAACTAAACTGAAGAGGAGAGGAGTTCGAATCTATGATTAAGTAATATAACGCTAAACAACTTGAATAACACAGATATCATTTGAAGGAATGATTTAACCTACTTCAAATCAGTCTAATAGTGAAAACCGTATAAAAATCTTGTAAATTAAAATCAGATGATTACAAAATTCTTAGTCTTAGACTAAAATGATGCAACGCAGTGATAAACTTAACAATCAATGGTGACATTAAACGTGGCACGACGAGAGGGATCGATCACACTTGTCACACTTTACATCATCAATAGCATATTGAGAAAAAAATGCTAGGATAAAGAGTAAACAATTACGAAACCACAAAATCAGTGGTAGTGAACAAAACCAAACACATAGGATATCGTTTGAAAATAATTGACACATCCATAACTTTATAAAAAAAATAATAAACGGTTTCGAACTATGCTGCGTAAGGTGTTGAACTACTGATAAAAACTACACAATAGATCAATACTAAGATTGACTTATACCTTTCTTTCTACTAACTAATTCTCTCTTCCTGTATTATATCCTTATATGCAATCAATTTTATGTATTACTACTATTGAAGTAACTGCTTCTATGAATTTGGTGTTCATCTTGTTGTGCTAATGAGGTATGGCAACTTGGACTGATGCATATATGTGCCTGATCTTATGTTGTAGCTGGCTAACTGACTAACTAAACATTTGTGTCATCTGAATTAAACTCATTGTTTTACAATAATGGAATTTCAGGAACAATCATTTGGAAAACTAATTACATAAGATTTTAGTATAACTTACACGTAAATTAGCAAATGGATCACGTTGTTCATGTTGTAAATATTTTGGTAAATTAAAGAATGTATCAAAAAATATATGACATAGACGACATTGTTTCATATCTGATAGTCGAATTTTATCTGTAAGTGCTGGTTTCACCATATCCAAACATTGACATAAACAATCTTCAAATGATATAGGTTCAATCCCCATTTCTTCCATTCGAGCTAATTGTTCCGAGTAGAAATATTCTAATTCATACATTGACAACAGACCATCACCGTCTAGATCCATACATCGAAACCAATATTCAATACTAAAAAAAGATATGCGAAATGTTAACAGAACAAGTTATTTTTTGTTAGCCAATTACGAGGAAATTCTAATAGTTAATTTCTTTTTGAAATATGTTCAGATGACATTGTCTAGAAAGACAAATAAACCTTTATAACTAAACCAATCAGCTCAAAGAACACAACACTTCTAAAAAAGTACAAAGATAAATGTTCTGAGACATCCCACTATCATAGCACTAAATATTTTTTAGAAGGTGAAACAAATTCAAACCAGAGATCTTGAAAACTGATACGTTTTTTCCTCTTTATGGGATAATTATGAAAATAAATTTCTTTCAGATTCACTGCCTTCATTTGGACTTGAAAAGTGGAAGACTGTAGAAGTTATTTATTTATTATAATAATAATAATAGTAATAATAATAATTTATCTATAATATTAAGAAGGCAATCAGTTTGTTTTATAAAACATTAACTGGAGAAATACTTGATGTATAGTTAGGCATAATATAAGTGATTACCTTCGAGGATGATGTTTATCTTCTTCAGCTAGTAGAAACCAAACAAAATCTGGATAAGTCATAACACCTTCTTTAAAAGCTGTTCCTCTGAAAAAAAGAATACGATCGTATAGAGAAAAATCTTGTTGAAAATACAATTAAGTTTTAGTATTATAAATCATATTGAGAAAAATAATACATATATTGCTTTAATAAATGAAAAGCACATACATACTTTGATAATGGTAAAATATCAGTTGAATAAATGGAACAGTAGCTTGTTGTTTACTGCATTGAAGCTCTTAATAACTAAACCATGTAATGTGAATCGAATTTCGGTCAATGTCTTATCGGCTATCAGAGTTCCTCTACCCTTTAAATATCTTAAATGACTGAAATATTGGTGTGGGAGGATTTATGGGAAAATGCATCTAAAGACATATATATTTAAGACATAATACAAAACTTACAAATCATGGGATTAAATAAGTGAGTTTATTTTGAGATTCCATGGGCTATTATTGAAACATTTTATTCTGAGATAATGTATAATATTTGAAGTTTAAATGGATAAATTTGGTGTTATTGAGTTTTATCATTGTTTAAACACATAAATATTGGTACAAGAAGGCAGCAAATAGATATGCGACACATAAATCATTCAATTTGTGTGAGGGCTGAGATACTGGCCGAGTGGTTTTCTTAAGGGGTTACACCCGGGCCATTCGACCTGAAGGTCTAATCCACAAGCCATTGGAACAACGTCAGATGTATTCTCATGGTAGCCGGTGACCAACGATTGGTTAATACGCCAATCGTTCCCTCAGGATTCTTGAGCCCATGTGCACCACTGGTTTGGAATCAGGTTTTTCTAACTCCAATAGGTAGATCCGTATCTACCAATCCGGTTAGAGCACTGAGCATTCGCATTTTGTCCTCTCGATTTCGTAAACAACAGCCCCACTGCGAGAAGGTAGCGAGTAGGACTTCTATGGTAGTGGTTGTATGCACGTGGTCAGGTGAGAACATTTCGAGAGGGAGAGCTGACTCCCCCAACTGTTGCCCGTATCAGGGCATTTGGGGGCCTTAATCTAGATGGTTTAACTGTGGAGCATTCATTGTCGTTTCGGACGACATCCCCAACGTCTACTTCATATAAAGTTAGGTTTCTTAATTATTTCAAAAGTATCAAATTAATTCCTTTTATTGATCTTGTTTGAGATTGATTATCTTCACAGGTATTGTGATTTTCATTCGTCTTCTTGTAGATTTTGTTCTATTGTAAATTGCATTGATTTTCAGTAAGGACAACTATTACGCATATCCGTAGCAATTCAAACAACAAATCAAGTACTTTTATCACTTTTGTATATTATATGCATTTTTGTTTTACTGTGCACAACACGGTACAAGTGATGAACTGAAAGAAGTATTGATACAGAAAATAATCCACAGATATTACAATAATGTCTGTTAAACCATCCTTATTGGTTTAATTCCATTAATTGTCATTAGAAGACACTAATACATATGGAATGCTTAGAAAAATAGATTAAAGTATTTGTGACTAACTGTTAAGTCAAGAAATAGTATGTTGGAACCATCAGTGAGAAAAGATGAAATTACAACAAGTCAAATGACATTAAAAAAGGGAAGGGCCAATAATCACTAGTTTTCCAATCAAAATAATAAAGAACAGACTATATATATATATATATATATATATATATATATATATATATATATATATATATATATATATATATATATAGAGAGAGAGAGAGAGAGAGAGAGAGAGAGGGTGCGAAACACGTACAAATACTTTCATAAAAGAAGGTAGACGTATTAAAGGAAAATAATTGTACAATTTACACTAGTTATAGAAATACGTTACATATTTATGACTATCAATAAATGAATTTTACCATAATGATGATTATAATAAACGAAAAAGAATAAATCGATTCATTAGTTCGACTTTACATCAGTCTATGGTCATATCAGTAAATGAATTTACTCAATGAATAATCCTGTGTGTATGATAAAATGGATATCTATGACTAACTGAAGCTGTGTTAGTAAAGTTAAGAAAAAAAGTTCAATATATTTGAACATTATTGGGTCAATTTTATGACTAAGATCATTTCAGTATTTTATTAGAAAATAAATTGAAACATTGTAGCAGGATTAAGTTTAATGACATTAACGACTTTCAGTTCGAATCATTTAGTGAGATGTACACTTCTTGAGAAAAGTACTCAATAGGTAACAGAAATCACTGGTTGGGATTCTTGTATCGATTTTGAAATCTCTCAAGATTTACTACTTTCGTGTTGCTTTTTCAAATGTGACAGTTTGAACACATCCAATACTTGAAGTTCATTAGTTTGATTATACATGGAATATTATCAGAATGGATGTTTGTGGAGATTGTAGCAATTTAATAGTTGAATTTATGAGTCGATTCAAGCTACATCACCATTGATAACCTGGAAGCACTAGACGGTCGTTTCGTCCTAATATGGGACTCGTCAGGAGTGTGCATCCATGACCCCACAAGAGAGACTTGAACCCAGGTCCTTCTGTCTCGCGCGAGAACGCTTCACCTCTAGACCACTGATCCGATATTCACCAGTGTTATTGTCTAACTTCAACCAATCCAGGATATTGCGCCACCGTTCACCTTTGTCTTCAGTGAGTAACTGCCTCACAATGGACACGGTTAAACTCCGATGGTCACGACTTCTCACTATAACTCCAGGAAAAACCCCTTGAAGCCAGTCACTAGTGAGTATATGACGATCGTGGATGTGCACTAGTGAGGAGTCCCATAGTAAAACGAAACGGTCGTCCAGTGCCTCCAGGTTTTCTATGGTGGTCTAGCTTTAATCGACTCATGGATACAACCATACATGGAATAGTCACGGACATACCGAGTCAAGTAATAGAATTTGAATAAAAATAGCCGTTCAATCCGTTCCTTAGTTTTCGATAATTTCCCAGTTCATGATGAAAAACTCGTCAAATCGAAAAAATGTGAACACCAGCTATCTAAATGATAAACATTTGGTCACAAACGGTTTTTTAATAAAATAATCCATAAAAGTCTAGTGAAACACCGTGATCGGTATACTCCAATCATCATAGCACTAAGTGATTGACATGATACCACTGCAAATTAACTCCATTAGAAAACGCGAATTCTAAAAACAGATTTTCGTTTAGAAAAAATTTACATTGGTATCTCGATAACTATCTATCTTTACTTACTTCCACCAATACGTACACACAGATAAACAGATATAACCAAAGTACAAAAAAGACAGATATTCTCTGAATCAATTTCGTCTACTAAATTGAAATAATCCTAGAAGTGAAAAAGAAAACTTGCAATTCATATCTGAAGTTTACTTCGATTCATATCAATTATTGATACAAAGTCATGTAATCCCAATCGGATATGCAATCGGAAAACAATAGCAAAAAAGAGAATATACATATCTTATTGCTAAGTTTAGAAAATGAAAATTCTTTCATGTAATAATTATACTGAATAATGACTAGAAAGTGGAATTTTTCAACAGAGGAAGAAAGAAATAAACTATGAGATAAAAAAACATATGTGTATAGGGGTAGGGAACACAGATATTAGGCTATTGTATTGTGTTTTAGTATGTACCCCCCCCTCCCCACTCGGTTTTGATCACATTGCTCCTGCTCATGAGAATATGACAAGAATAGGTAGAGGAATTGACAAATGCAAGCTACTACTACTTACATAGAATAATAATAATAATAAACGTATTCGTAATAATTTATTTTCCCTTTCAAAATATCTCACCTTGTTACAGCTCCACTAAATATTCGGTCTATCATACGTTCTGAGATAGCTGTAAAAATATGTATATGTAAATGCATTGAAAGTTAATAAGTAAATGACTAAACATAGAAATAAACAAAGTGGAAACTTATCCAAATAAAATAGTCGTTTATGTAAAAAAGAAAGAAAACAAACCAGATATACAAACATTTCTATGCATTTAGATCTTATTTCAACAACTTGATCAGTATTCGGATGTCCAGAGCCAAATGGAATTCAAAAGATTCATTGAAAAATAGGTAACACATATAATATTGATTAGGATTGATGTTACTTGACTTTCAGCTGAGAATCATATTCTTTCGGAGGTATACAAGCTAGCAGAACCGTGGTTTAGCGGGTTTTGGTGTTCAATTTTCAACCGCTAAGTCCTAAGTTCGAACGGCAACGCAGCTACTTCGGTTTAGTCAACATGATAGTGTCATACATGAAGTGTGGTGGCTCATAATCAATTACCGGGTGAATTAATTAATCTATCATGACTTAGTCACCATAAGTAAATCAAGTGTATTGAAAATCAGACCATTATAATTTAAGTTATTGATATTTTTATAAAGAAAAACGATAAACACATACCAAATTATTATCACCGAAAAATATCTAAACAAATTATGGAAAATTAAACACGAGTTGAAATTAAAAGTATAACACTAGTAGAGAGAGATATCCATGAACATTACTACGCTTTAATAGAAGATTGTTATTAATGGAACAGCAAAAGACCAATAAAAATACATAGGTTAATTGATAAATTACCATTATATATATATATATATATATATATATATATATATATATGGTACAGTTGAATTTAAATCATACAGTTTAAGCGTGAAGGCTATTCATAGTATTTAATGAATGAGTGACATCATATGACTCACAGTTCCCGATGTTCTTCTATTGCCTTGTAGATTAGATCATAAGGTAAAAATCTTCAACAGAGATTTCATTAGAAAACCACTTGGTTTGATTTGGGAGACCCGGCAATATCTTAACTCACACACAAAAATGTTAAAGAATAAAAATGAATCATACTTTATTTGCTCCACCAAGCTACCTATTCAAACGATGCTCAACAGCTAAATTAAGGTTAAAACCAAAAAAATTAATAAAGAAAAAATATAGTACGTAACAAACAATGTGGTGTAAACTTACCATAATTATTGTGTCGTGCTAAATCACTTCGACTGATGATCAAATCATGATCTTCGTCTAGCTCCCAGAATTTACAATAAATAACATAGAAATGTTCATAAGAAAAATATTGTGTCACCAAATTAATATCATCTTCATTTTCAAGACTGGCTAACACAGGAAGAAAATTACTTCGTCTTAATTCACCTAAAGAAATACGACCAGACCATGAAATATTCACATTGAAGAAGATACGTGCTACAACGGTTGCCACGTAACGGGAATGAAAATCTTTCGCTGCTTCTAAAAACGCTAAGCCAGGATGACTCTCTAAAATGTCCTGAATGAAAAAAGGAAAATTAAATAATCAACAAAGCTATGGAAAATAAGGTTATGTGCACCGAGGATAAGTTCAAATTTCATCATTTACTTTATTTCCATGTTCGTTAACTCAAACCATCAAGTTATAATCTGACTCAGATTTAAATATACGTTCTTATGAATTTGAGGAAGTAATGCATTGTCCTACACTATAATAACACTGAAAATTTGATAAATATCCTAACATTGGAGTATCACACCGTTAAGTATACGTTGAAAGTAAATGCCTTTATATCGCTGAGAGAAATTCATCATAATAACCGTTAAATATACTTCCCGCTAGATCTTCTGCAACACTTTATCCAAGAAAATGGACTAAACTTCATTTTTGAAACAATCTAATGAATTTTTCTGGGATGTAATTTTAATAAAAATCAGAAAAATTGAACATACACTGGATATCCATAGATTAACACAATAACGTATGGATTATGCATACCCAATAATTCAGATTGTTCCGATTCAGATGTGCAAGACAACTCAATGGGTGCAAAAAACAATACACATCACAATATCACGATAAATAACTTTTGTTTATTATTAGTGAGCACCATGACTTCTTCAATGCTAATACTGAAAACCTTGAAATTACTGTGATCTCGCAACTAGTATACTATTAAGTTACAATGTAATCTTATAACGAATTTCAATCTCCAGTCTTTCCACAAGTAAAATAAGTCCAATACTACACACCTTTGCATACGGATTGAACAATGAATAGTGATCGGTTGTCGTACTTGTCTAATTATTGGTGCTGGTTGAATCTTATCTACCAAGTAGTAATGTGGCCACCAGTCTAAATGACTTAATATTGTATGCACTATGTTTTGATACAAAGTGATTATAAAGGTAATTAGCAAGAAAACCTAGATTTAGACTTTGTTCCAGTTGGGACTCATCAGTACATTCCACCTGTTGTCTTAGGATCGCACTCCGAATAGGTCAGTAGTGACGTCTCAGACTGTGGAGCTGAGTGATGCACTAGTATCTTCAAAACTTCGAGTACACTTTATGACAAGTGCCAACTGGAACACAACCTAGGTCAAAGGCATGTTCACAATCATCCCTAACCATTGTAAATATACCCTCTTTATCTGTACATTAGAATTATATATATAGTCAACTCCTCCAGTGTATATGTGTATATTTACAATAGTCATAACAATGAAAAACTGAATTATGAATCAAAAACTCATACTCTTCTTCTCTTTGTCACAACTATTATGATGACAGAACAGTCCTAAATAAGGTTCTTTTCCAAAAAAATCTTACAGTAGATGATATTAAAAAGCGAGTACCCCTACCTCCGAAAGACAAAAAAGAACACATCTATCGTTCGCTCTTACTTGTATTAGTGTATTAAAATCAGATTGTACTAAAAAGGTAGCTCGTCCACGTGTAAGTAGATGAATAAATTTCGAAGCTTCATCTGGACAAGTATTCAGTGTACTGAAATAAAAAACAAAAATCGCACGGCATGATAAACCAAATTAGTAAAGGTCAATCGATAAATGGTGTACTGTTAGTAAGTTTTATAAATATATGTACTAGTTTTTTTCAAGTTTGACAAAAAATAGCAACCATGAAGGGGTGATTAAATTCTACACAATGTCATGTGTGATATCAATCTTTTCACACACATGAGATATATAGATGGTTCATTTCACTTATCATTAATAACGATGATTTACAGCACAGGTGATGTGTTCATTGAGCTAAATGCATTGGTTTAAGGGCTTTCACTATCGTACTGGACAGTTTCATCAGCCACAGAAATATAATGAAAAATGAACATTTAAATTATCTCAAAGAATACAACACCACCAAAAGCTTCTACTAAACTTCAACTACAAAATCTGTAAACTGTGTAATTTATTGTACATAATTAAACAAAGAAGACGTGGAAATAATGTCATTAGATTAACAAACTATTCATTTGAATAAATGACAGCAGAGAATGATGAAACTCGTTTAGCAAGCTTTTGTTCTTTTTGAAAACAAAATAATATAAAACAAAAAAGTAGGTAGAAAAGAGTACTGTAGTATTATCTTTATTTCAATGTTTTAATCATACTCAAATATGACCCCTTCCAAACATCTTATAGATTGAGACCCATTTTATTTCCAATAAACAAGTGACCTGGATTTTTCAAAGCTTAGAGCACTTATTATTTCAGATGACTGTCTATTATGAATGTAACTCATTTGTAATTTACCCGTACGTTAATATATTCGGCTTCGAGCTACACTTTTAACTGTTTGAGTTACTAATTCTACATAGTCGATCGATCTAACAGTTAAAGGCTGTGTTATAAAACCATTAACTCACCACTTGAAGACAGAAGGTTATATGTTTTTCTAATCCGAAACTAGTCTAGATCACATCCAATAGCGCATAGGTGTAATATTATTTAGGTCGAAAACTTGATCCCTATTCATATATCAAATTTTATTAAATCCGTTACTTACTTACTTACGCCTGTTACTCCCCGTGAAGGAGCATAGGCCGTTTACCAGCATTCTCCATCCAACCCTGTCCTGAGCGATCCTTCCCAGCTCCTTCCAGTCGTTATTCATCATTTTCATATCTGCTTCTATTTTCAGACGTAATGTGTTCTTTGGCCTTCCTATTTTCCGCTTCCCTTCAGGATTCCAAGTTAGGGCTTGCCTCGTGATGTAGTTTGATGATTTGCGTAATGTATGTCCTATCCATTTCCAACGTCTTTTCCTAGTTCCCTCTTCAGCTGGAAGCTGGTTTGTTCTCTCCCACAGAAGGCTGTTGCTGATGGTATCTGGCCGATGGATGCTGAGTATCTTGCGTGGACAACCATTTATAAATACTTGTACCTTCTTGATGGTGGTGGTTGTAGTTCTCCAAGTTCCAGCTCCATACAATAGAACTAACTGTTTTGACGTTTGTATTAAAGATTCTGACTTTGGTACTGGTTGACAGCTGTTTTGAGTTTCATATGTTCTTCAGTTGAAGGAATGCGGCGCTTGCTTTGCCAATCCTCGCCTTCTCGTCTGCATCTGAACCTCGTTGTTCATCGATGATACTTCCCAGGTATGTGAAGGATTCTACATCTTTCAGAGTTTCGCCATCAAGAGTGATTGGATTGCTGTTCTCCGTTTTGAATTTGAGGACCTTGGTTTTTCCCTTGTATATTTTGAGGCCTATTGATGCAGAGACTGCTGCTTAAACCCGTGATATAATTATATTATTTAACAAACACGATTGACAAGTATTGATTTCTCATTAACTAAATGATCAATCTCTGATACAACTTGATAATAAGAGGGACTAACTTGAAAATTGAATATAGATTGATTGTTTCTACATAGTTCCAGCTAATCGTAAAGTCAAATATTGAGTTTCTGGCTCATAAGTTGCATCATAAACGATTAACTAGGCTAGCAACCACTACATATAAACAAATTTTCAATATAAGGTGAAATAGCAAAATACTAAAACGCTAGCCACGGTTTAAGGAAATTCGTTGTGAAAAATTCAATTTGAAATTATAATACACATGTAACAAAATAGGAATTATTTAAACAAAAATTTTCGAAGGTGACGGTAAGAACAGACTCATCCTCAACGTTTGCATACCAGACTGATGGTCTCACTATATTAAAATAAAGAGCCAACTGAACAACACTACTACCCAAATTAACTATGTTCTTTTAAAACAAGTTGATAAAAAAATTTCAATCGCGACTATCCACTATTCTTAATCAGATCACCATTAAAAACCAGAAACCATTGGACAGTTATTTCGTCCCAAAGGAGGACCCTTCAGCTGTACACATTCATGACCCATCGGGAATTAAACCCAGAAACTTCGGTAGTCCAGCTAAGATTATTTCGTGATATAAACTATGAAAACCCTACAACCTCTACAATCCTTTACTCTATACTAGTATTTAACTACGTCAACACGTATTGAAAAGTATAAATGACACTGTAAATAAACTATCTCAAACACGTGCACATGACGTAGGTTACAGTAATAATAACATAGAAACATTTATAAAATCAAGATAAATTGCTGTAAACAAACCAAGAAATTTAATGTAAATGAGTGTGTTGAATTGCGTATGTTGTTTGTGAATGTGTTTATTGTCAACAGAATATTGATTTCAAGAATGCAATGTTTTCTTAATATGTAACAAGTAATAATTTCTTATCTCTCAAAAAACAAAAAAATGTGTGAATCAGATTAAGGAAAATGTCGTTTTTCGTCCTCAAAATAAAAAATCCTTTAACTTACTGAGACCATGATTTCAATAAGCTTGACAAGGTGACTGGTTGTCGATCTGGTGTACCACCAGCATTCATATAAATTGCATGTTTCCAATAAAGTGGACAATTAAGTACCTAGAAATATCAGGAACAAAATATGGATGTTTGTGATGATAGATGAGACTAAATAAGAATTATAGAATTCAAATATATAAACAGATATAGAAGCGCTTGATTACTGATTAACACTTGATATTATAATGTATTCCCTTGTAAAAGAAAAATATAAATTGTACAAGAGCGGTTAATTTTCTTGCTGACAAAGTATAATAACAATGTAACTAGTTTACTAAGTACATGTTTATGCCTACCCATTGATCATGATTATTATTATTATTAATGGCTTTATTCAATATTATATATTGGTACAATAAAGAATTCTCAGCACAAGGTATTTCAACAAGTTTCTTTTACAAAAAAACAGACAAAAAAGAAAAGAAAAAATGTTTAAAAATAACTGAAAAGCTGTACAACTTTCCAAATTAGAGACATGTTAATGATGCAGGTCATTGATTAGGTTAACTCTAGCAACCTGTTCGTCACAGAGTATATTCGCTAGGTAAGGTATTATAGAACTTTTATACTTTTGCTTGCGTGCATGGATTTTAATGTAATTACGTCTCGTTCTACCAAAAGATATACAAGGAGAAAAATAAGAATGAAGGGGATGGTTTGTACCTGATAAAATGACACATGCCAGGGAGTTGGCATGACTATCCACATCAGCTAGTCTACATTTACTGACATGCTCCGACGCAACAAATGATTATTTCATGAATTGATGCAATGTCTCATTTGCCCCCCCCAACCGATTCTAATGCAGAACGTTTTCCTATGTTTGGGTAGATGGTGTATCAGTCAGTCAATCAGCTACAACGTAGGACCAGGCACATATATGCATCGGTCCAAGTTGCCATACCTCATTAACACAACAAGATGGACACCGGATTCATAAAAGTAGTTAATTCAGAGGCGGTAATATATAAAAGAAAGATCGCAATAAGGATATAGTACAGGAAGAAAGAATCAGTTCGTAGAAAGAAATATATGAAGCGATTTTAATCTCTTAGTTTAAGGTAAGACAGAGAGTGTATACACCGACGCCATTGTGATCGATTCTGAGCCATGTCACACATAGTCTCCAACCATTGGTTACGATAGTCACGCGGACCCCAACCAAGTAGTCTGCATCTACCATCATGGCTCAGACTACAAGTTAGTGACCTCAAGCACTGATGCCACGTTTTGGTTTGACCGCCCCTAACTTTCTTCCAACCATCTCCAGCACCGGTTAGCATTGCACGTCGTGGTAATCGGTGTTCACGCATACGTAACACGTGACCCAACCATCTCAGTCGATGAAGATTAACAACCTCATCAACTAATTTACCATCATTCCCTAATACCGTGCGTCTAACCTCACTACTACTTAATCGGTGAACAACTAAATAAAGACGATGCGATTTTTAATATACGCAAAGTGGTCAACATAATCCGTCACTAAACTCTCTACAGTCAAACTAGGCGATGATAAACTATAACAACACCAGAGAAAGAATACCATCAGCCAGTCATGACAGTAATAATTTAAAATAAGACGTTAATTATTGTGTTTTCAGTTGTTTTATTCACTATCAAATAATAGGCTTTATAGTTAGATGGTAAAATAGAATATATAATACCACAATGGTTCTACACTTGCCCAGTGAGTGACGATTAAGTTAACTGTCAATATTACAATTATTAGACAATAAAGCAATGAATGTTTTCAATCAGTATTCAAAGTTAAATGAATAACATTAAATAAATAAAATAATGCTATTCAAGTCTATTTCTCTTCTCTATATAAAAAAGCATGAACTGAGGAATATGGAGAAGGTTTACTAAACTGAACCAGAAGCAGGGAGATGAGAGGTGGTTACATTTTCCATTAAAACAAAAAATGAACTATGAGGGTTTGTGAAAAGTACTGAATTTTAATAATTTACATTACGGACTGATTTTAATACAACAACCGTTATAAACTAGGGAACACTGGAGAGCAATTTTGTCCTATCATAAGACTACGTAGTATTGCGCATCCACGGCCTGTTAAAATATGGGATTAAACCCCAAACCAATCACGGAGAGTATGCATGCATACAAATATTGAGTCTTATACTAGGACAAAGCAACTGTGCAGTGCTTCCTGCTTTACAATCCTTGACTAATTAAGATCAGTCCGTGGTGGAAACCGTGAAAAAACAGACTATCAATCACTGTCGTAAAAGTTGAGTTTCAACTAAAATAACAATTCTTTAGTCGATAACAAAAAGCTTTTGAACAGGAAGCCAATAAACAAATTAATTAATTTTAAAAGTGATATTAGCTAATCAGGATTCTACAGAAAACTCAATGTGTAAAATTAGTAATAAAAAAGAAAAGAGAAAAATATATTCAAACATGAAATCGAAACTTTGTTTTTAAAAAGCCATTCGTACCTTTGCAACTTGTCCAAAACATGAATGGGAAATTAACGGATCAGAATATTTCCCAGAATTTAGTGATGAATCAATAAATTGGTTAAGTTCTTGTTTAACACGTTCTAATTCTGTGTTAATTTCCTCATTAGACATTCGAGTAGTCCCAAGTGGGAAATGAAATGCTGGCAATGCTTTATGTATTCGAGTTGGAGAAGAAGGAATAGCAAATCCTTTGTTTTGCACACATGAAGTAGAATCCATAGACGATGGATAAGTATAATCTGTATGATTAGGTACATTTGCCTTACTTATTAAAGATGTGACATCTTCATGAACACCGTCAGAATTAAAAAGACTTTTCGATTGTGAGGAATGAATACGATAGTGTTTATTAACTTCATGATAATTATCATGAGATTGTTGATGTGCGACTACATCAACATCTGGCTTATTACTTTCAGCAGGACAATTATATGCTGATGGTGTTGAAGCAACGGTAGGAGTGTGTTGTTTTGATCCAATCCCATCATTTGTTCGTAGAGGAGTTGTTTTATTTGTTCTAATTTTGCTTATATCATCAGTGTCTGCATCATGATTTAAAAGTTTATTCGTAGCAGTGGTATTATTAGTCTGGGATGAATGTTTTGTTCCATTATCTACACTTAGTTGATTTTCAGAGTTTGGTGTAACTTTTGGACAAATAGTTATTACTCCATTCTCTTGTTTGGATTTGTTTTCATGCGTTACATCATTTGCGGTATGTGGTTGTTCAACAGAGCTCTAGAAAATAAAACAGTAGAATAAAACTAACTAGTGTCTGAAAAGAACTGGCAGGTTATGACAATTTCTCACAGATAAAATGATTTTCAACACTTTCTACAATGTAAACTTAGAAGTGAAACACTGAATCAAAGCATACACAGGTCCGCGTATTCAATAGTTTAAAAGGGAGCAACATTCCATCGAAATTACTACAATCTTAGCAAAACAAACTATCAAGTTCCCAATCAATAATGTTAAAGCTGAAAAACAATCAGACTAATATGACATTTTATTCTCTAATTAATTTATTAAAGCTACAGTTTTTTTTTTAGAGATACTAGTCATAAGCGTTTATTTCAGAAAATAGTAAAATCACTCTTTTTAAGAATAAAAGTATGAGAACGTGTAATTTATTAACATCGCTTAAAGCGAATAATGAATTTGAAAAAGGGGAAGTAAACGAAAGTCAAATACACTGATCGTAGAATTTTAAGTAAAAATAACATAATAACATGTTATTCAATAGTAGACGAGATGAAAATTGTTTTATGAAAAAGTGTTTAGTTTCGCAAAACAAAACAAGTGTGTAATATTAAATGCACTAATTCCATAAACTGAATTAATAACGTAAAAACTGACATAAATGTATAACATTTTAAAGTAACCTATGCTTACCGTCCCCACACAGAAATAAAAAATTAAGAGGAAGAAAATTGGATTAAGCTAATATTACTACTATACTAAGAGGAAATAATTGTCCAGTAATTCTTGATTTTCAAAGGTTATCTAACCGCAGTCCGTGGTATAAACTATGGAATTCAACAATCTTCACAAACCTAAATCAATAAAGTCATAGTGTTGACAGTATTACTCTGTCGAAAATAGTAAAAAAGCATCATAAAGAATAAGCGCAACTCAAGATTTAGAGGAATAGAAAAGATGAACACACAACCATGAACTACTACCACAAACCTCGCTTGGTTTACATAACTTCGATTAAACAGCCAAGATGTTTGGTGAGCCCAGAAAGATACTGTTCACCACCCTAGATAAATCAGTGTTTAAGATGCTAAAATTCTAGCAACTAAGTAGTAGATTCAAAATATACACCTACCATCAAGGACTGAATTCTGCAACTCAAGGGTGAAAATCGGTGGAATCCTGCTCCTTATGTTAAAGTTCTAGTATATCGCTTCTGCTCTATATAAGGAGTGCATCCGTAAAATTGAGGCAAGTCATAGTTGTCCCTATTCGAGACTTCAGTAACCACTATGTAACCAAAGGAGTAACGCTTGTAGTTTCGGCCATTATGTTAAGCCCATATACCGTATTCTAGCTTCTGGACAGGCCAATCTATTCATTCTACTTGAGTCGCATTTTGACCTTGTTAATTATTCGCTTATCAATCTTCACTATTGTTATACGAGCATGTATGTGTACACTTCTTATCCCATCCATCACATGTATGTAGCTTAATTTTGTGTGACTATAAATATTGATTAATGCTTGACTAAATGGAGTTGGCTCACGAGCCTTCTCCACTGCGCGTTATCTTGCCTTGCTCTCTTCTCTTCGCTTCTCCGATATTTTGTCTGGATCAAAGATTGTATGAAATATACGAGGAGATAGGAGACAAATATTTCGACAGCATTCATTCAACAACGAACATTCATACGATCTAATTAGAGTCACATCCCGGGCCACTAAGCGCTCATAAATCATTAGATGCGGTAGAGGCCTCGCATCATTCCGCTGCTGATTGAAGAACTATGCATTTGTTAAGTCACGAAAACATGCCCTATCAAAGAGTACTAACACGCAAAAGACAAAGGTTTATATAGAATTTCTGTCGGTTAAGGAATAACAGTATCGTCAACTTCTATCGCTTGTATGGTAAACATAAAATTAAGTGAAGACAAAACGCAAGAAAAAAACTCACTTTTGTAAATTAGTGAAATTACATATAGTAGATTAAAGAAAATATTTAAAACATGAAGTGAGGTAGTAGTAGTCAGTCATCCACTCTATCTTACTACTACACAGAAAACCAATCGATAAATGTAAGGTTAATGAATAGAAAGGAATTTACTGACAATATCCAGCTGCGTTTTATGTATATTTTTTCTGTGCATTCGTGCATATATGTGTGGTGACAATCATATAATATTTCTGAAATGAATGCGTGCTACAACTATGACATAGCAACTTCAAATTGATTAAAAGATTATCATTACCATTATTATTATTATTATTATTATTATTAATTAGTTCACATAAAATAACTTTAACAATGGAAGAGTAGTGGAATAAGACACAGGGCACCTACGAATATAATTTAGCTTAGGGAGAGACCAGGTTTCATAAAAGCAGAAAAAACCGCTTGCGTTGTAAAGCCGTACGTTCGACTTCCTATGACCAGACTAGAGTCGCAACGATTCCTAAAAGCTTTTTAAAACCTTGTATTTACAGTCACTAAAACAAAACTGCTATATTACAGCTAAATATCTTAGTTGATAATAACACGACCAAAACATTAATTCAAGCTTACTCTCAAGTCGTACAAGCCATCTGATTACTTAAGCTGCTCTAATGGAGATAACAGTTCAAACTACGATATCAACATACATGAAGGTCTGAACTCTATTTTTCGAAATGACACATCACAGAAGAAATAAGATATTGGTATAAAAAAAAATTTTAAAAATACAAGAAATTCACCTACATATATCACCTATACAGTAGTAGCCAGACATCGAACGCATAAAATGTATAACTAACTTGGTGGGTTTTTTAGTATTTTGAAATATATAATGTGTAAACTAGAAAATAAACAGTTCTAAATGTCAAAAATAAAGTGCAGTAAATAAACGTACAAAAATATCTGTTTAGAACACATAAACAATAATTCAACAACAAAAAAACTTGTTACATTTATTTTACGGAATCCAAAATCGAATTCTCTAAGCCAAGTATAAGCGTTTCTATTTAATCAAGATTTACTATCGCCGTAAACAGTATAATTACTTTATACAAATAAAAAATGTTTCTTTCGTTAAAGTTATCATCATATAAATCCTTTGAAGTCAACCGAACAATTTGTTCGTAGATAAGTAAAAGGCTATAAGTTTTCATTTTGTCGACACTTTCTGTAGATTACTCTAGATATTGAACACTGAAAACAAGAGAAAATGTTGGTCAGAAGATTTTAATTAATCCAGATGACCAGGAAACGTTACAATGAATTTTTTAAATATCCATATGATAACACTTAAGCTTCTGCCTAAATAATTCGGTTATGGTTAATATTTTTATGAAGATTAGTAGCTAGTTTTACTCGTAAATTTTGTGCCTCCGAACGTTCATATGCAATATGACATAGTCACACAATCAGCAACTTTATTTTGAGGAAGAAAAATCAGTCAAAAGATTATAAGGCAAGGTAAAGACTAAAAATTTAACTTATCAGTTAATAAAAAGTAAAAAAGATGAAACGACAGAAAAGCTTGGAACTAAACACAAACTACATTTATTCGTTCTTTGAAAGTTTATACCGATAGTAAATTATGGCGATTACCAACGCTTGAATCTATCCTATTCAGTTTGTACACATGAAGTCTACTAAATCTTTCATTAGTAAAATCTTCCCGATTATGCTATAATTCTGTGAAAGTAGAATCAAATCCTCACTATATCAAAACATGGTAAGATACATGTGAGCCGTATACAAATTAGTTTAAATGAGATAACTTGATTTTTCCGATCAAATTATTATACCTGAACCCAGTTTATTTATGTTTTTTCTCACAAACTAACAATGTTATTAGGTTTCATAACAAGCAAATTATACAGTTTGCTTAAGATACCATTGAAAAAAAAATTTGTTTCCATTCATCCAAGTCATCCTCATACTTCACAAAAAACATGAATGGAATCCACAGAAAGAAGTACTGAAAACTAACCAACTAATTATATTAACAGTAGCAAAGAAATTAAAAGATAATAATGATCAGGAAAACAATTGTAGAAGCATAGGCTCAATAATGTACCATTTAATTAGAGCAACTGAAACCAGTCTACAAATATTACATCAGTAAAAGTTTAAAGTTATTGAGTTTGGAATATTTAATCAAGAAAGTATTTCACAAAAATTGAATTAACAAATGACACCTTCAAAAACATGACAATCACCGCTACTTTTAAAAATTTTATTACACATCGGCCATCTTACAAGACAGACTGACAGAAATCAAGACAGAGCGTAGCACAGATGTGATTTATGCTAAGTTACCACACTAGATAAGTACGACCAGATGCAAAACACAAAAGAGATCGTAGTAGCAGTGATGATGTGAAAGACTGAACATTAAGAATATGATGGGAATGAAGAGGTATGAGTATGAAGAAATACTAAAACTCAAGATCTAGAGAAAGATAAAAAAAGGATGTATCTGTGCGTTTGTGACCGATTCCGATCCATGTCAGATTCTCCAAACACTGGTCGCGGTCATAGAATGGGCTCCCAACAAGTAGTCCATATCTGCCAGTATGGTTCACACCAAGTTAGTGACTTCATGGAATAATCCTGTTTTGGTTTGGCTGGCCCTAGGTACCTCACAACCTACACTAGCAAACATCTCTCGTCGAGGTAAGTGATGTTTAGGCAAATGTCGCAAATGTTCTTACTACTTCAGTCGATGAATATCCAATACCTCACCAACCGACTTGTCGCTTTTCGCAAGTACCCAATGCTTAACCTCAACATTGCTCACTGGGTCATTCCATGGAACGCAAGCAATGCCGCAAAGACATCTGTGATCAAAAACCTTCATTTTATTCACGTCATTTACTTTCAACGGTCACTAACCGTGGTAAACAATTGAACAGAGTACTATACAAAGCGTATATCATATTAAACGTAAATTAACAAACTCGGTTACCATCTTTGCATAATCTATCCAAATCCAACATTTTGATGAAATCAATGTGTTTTAGCTAGTCAATAGGAGGGAAATACTGTAACCGATAAATGAAACACAAAAAGAGAAGAAAATAAGACAAGGAATAATACCACTAAAATAAAATGAAACTATTTCGATACATTTAGAACTTATTATAACCAAAAAAGGAGTGAAACAACACAAAACTAGTTATAAATATTTGCTTACTTCACTATTATATTCAGTTCGTAAGGAATCCGTATGCGATGATGATAAATTATTCTCACAAACAGTTATATTATCATGAGATTTATCTGTTAATGTCTCTTGAATAGACAAATTAAAATGAGGCTTATCGGATTCATTGTTATCAGATTTTGCTAAATCAATGTCTTTTTCACTAATATCAATTGACGGTAGTCGATTTTCGACAGTATTCCCATCTGGTGGGACTGATGGTGTTATATCAGTAGTAGCTAAAGACGGAGAAGAGGTTGAAGTCGGAGTAATAGTTGCAGATGCCGTACTACTAATCTTTTCAACCAGTCCAAATTTAGAATCTAGTGGTTTTGAACGTTGTACAGGGTGAAAATGATGAACAGTTGTAGATGTGGTTGTCTTGACTGGAGTAGATGAGGTTGAAGAAGTTGGAGATGAAGCAGGAGGATATGAAGATCTAGCGATATGAGCGGCATGTACAGGGTGATTAGGGCTAGCTGCAGGAAGTGGTAAATCTGGTGGTCCCCAAGACAAATGAGCAGGAGATACTGCTCCGTGAGTATCATTATTGGCCAGAACAGAATGAGCGCCAGTAGGAATAGACTTACTAGTAGCACCAAATATCTCTGATGCTGGAACACAATGACTCATGTGCACACCTGCAGGACAAAACCTAGAGGTTGCACGCTCGCCACCAGACGGACTTATTAAAGGTGTGACAGCATTTGTGGTTAACGTGGCTTTAGGACAACGCTGACAAGCATGAACTGCACGTTGCCATGCCAGATCAACAGAACACGTCTGATAAACCTGAACACGTGAAACAAGGACCAAACTGGGTGTTCCGACAAGAACGGGCATGATAATGGTTCAAATGAAATGTAAATGTGAAATCCGCATAAAAACGTCTGATTAAACAGTATCCAATATACACTAGATTTTATATTGAATATAAATCATCTTCCGAATGTCTACGGAAACAGTAATTGAATATCCCAACTTGATTTTAAAGGTCCAGTTAGTAATGGTAATCTGATATTGATTATAAAAACTATTCCGTCAAAGAACATATTTGAATCACAGAATATTTTCATGTAACAGTAAACTATACACGACAATAAATAACGATACACCTCCACGCTTTGTTGAATAAAATAAAATGTGAATGTAAAAATAAAAATCGAATGTAATCGATCTAGAAGTAAGACATGCAATACAAACGCATCCAAAGAATGTGAAAGGCACAGTTTTAGTGAACCACTACTACTGATTGACTGCATGACTGACAAAAACCCAGACATATATAAATATACATATGTAAATACACACACACAATAGTGTTATGGCCACAGAGGAGGTAATGCTTACACACACGATAGGTCGATCACAGGGTCACATAAAAAGCTCGGATAACTAATGCATGCATACAGTATATTAGAATCTATCCATTTATCATCACATTTTTCACCCCAATGAATGAATTGATTTACCAACCAAAGGATAGGAAAAAATCTATAGGTAAACCAATTAAATAAAACACCATAGGAACGCACTCCATAAATACTAATGTAATGGCATCGCGTTCAGATTAAGATATTTTTCGTCTAAGTTAGTGTGAAATAGATGAAAAACCATAAATAACTAGTTATATATTCTGTTAAATTAAACTGTAGTCAAAATGTGTGTTTGAATAAAAATCGATGCCTGGTGAGAAAAAAAAGGACTTTAGTTTTCGTATGCATACACATACATACAACGCACTTGGAAACTTGACAATTGCTAACCTGTGTAAACAATAGGCTGCTAAGTATACATATTGGACTGCTACTACTGCTACAACCGAACAAGAGTAGTTTTACATCACTTATATGTCACTTGAATGCTGGTGACTAACTAACTGTTCAATTAGTTCAATAAATAGAAGAGCTGCGGGTGGTCTGTTGACGAATTGCTTGTATTCTAACTTCAGTACCAAAAGCGGTGTGCCATAGAGTTTCAATAGCAAGTTGAAGAGTAATTGGTAAAAATGTAGTTTTTGATGAAACCATGGACCGATCAATGCTAGATCACCATTGAAGACCGTGTCGAATGTCAGGCAGTTACCCATCGAAGATAGTCGTGCTGTAACGTGGATTGATTGAAGTTGGATGCCGACTCGGTGGTCTAAAAGTCAAGCATTCACGCAAGAATGAGGGTCCTGGGATCAGGCCTCGCATGCGGGATCGTCGACGCGTACTTCTGAGGAGTCCCATACTAGGACGAAATGGTCGTCCAGTACTGCCAGGTTTTCAATGATGATCTCATATCGATCGGTTTATGATCATAACAAAAACTCAACAATCTCCCTAACCCTATACTAATAAAAATGTATTTAGCTGCCTAATTAGTATATTGAAAAAATCACTCAATATGATATATTCAGAGTGACTACAATTTATGAAAGAACCAATCTGATGTAGTATAGCGCTTTACGGATTTCGGTGCAAAAATTTATTCATCCATATTGTTTAACAGCATTTTGATATTATGGCCGATGTAAGTTAGTGAAGAGGAAGTTAACTCTAATCTCCTGACCCTAACTTTCAACTCTAATGCCTAACCGCAATTCCTCACACTAATTTGTAACTCTGTTTTAACACCAACAAGCGGTTAAAGTTTCTTAATACCACCTCAGTTTCACACAAAGGTCGTCTATAGGTTATAGTCTCGCCGATATTTTGTTAATTCATACTGAAGATTTAGAACTAGACCAATCATAACCCCAATTCTTAGTAAGTAAGAGAGAGCAGAAAAAAAGACTTACCTATTATCGTTTTGGAACTTGATTGCTAAACAACATACACTGTTTATTATATGAATTCCTAAGATGAACTGGATATACACGAAAATATTGATTTTTCTTAAAAACAATGTACTGCAATATAACACATAAAAACAACCAAAACGTGCAGCTATATTTTAATAGTTTGAGGATTCTGTCAGACAGTTATGAGCAACATAGAATAATGGAACATATATGTATTAGCCTGAATTGCTAGACCACGTCAGTGCAATGAGATTCACCATCCAAACTCATTTTATTATACAGCTAAATCTTTACAAATGAGTAATAATGGTTATTCCTATCAGAATTAGGTGCATCTCTGATACAATGGAAAAGAACTAGGCCTAAGAATAAGTTAGGTGTCTTAACTGATTGGAGAGTGATTGATCTACAGGCTAACTTCTTCCGGTCGCCTATGAGGTTTATTTTGTACATAAATCTGTCAGTTTATAACATAAAAAATTGATTTCTCTGTTATGTTAACCAATACATCTTACATTTTACAAGCCTTCTCTTCTCACTATTCCATCCTGGAGGGAATAACTATTAAAGAGTTGTGTATTAGTCATTGAACCTATCCATTTAACATCGATTTCGTTCCATATTAGAAGAATCTCCCAATCATGCACAATCCCAATTCACGACAACCTCAGCACATAATGGATTTTTTTTACATATTCGTTATCGAGATTTTTCTAATAAAATGAAGTAGAAAGCGACAACTCTAACACTGACTGACCGAATTACTGACAATTCAGCGTAAGAACCATCATCGATAGTATACAAAAGATAGATAACAAGAGGGTTGTATTAGGGCGATAGATAAAATGAATTGAACATATTATAAAGAATTACTTCAGTAAAAAATAAGAGATGAAATAATCATAAACTTGAAAGGTAGTTGACGAAATACACATTAAAGTAGTCTTCCCTACACTCTTAACACTTATTCTTTCAATCACTCACTTAAACCCAGGATAATTTAAGGAAAAGCATAGACGAGAAAAAAACAATGTAACGCATAGGACTGTTTGAGTTGAAATAAACAGTAATAAGTAGAGGAAATAGTCAAGAAATTGCTTTGAGTTTTTTTTAACGATAATTATTACGTCGTTAACTTTGCATATCTGATTTTTAGAGTTTATACAATCATTTGAAAATGTTGTGTATCAATCCCAATACGTCCCTCTGAAGCCTCAATCTCAAATAAGTATTCAAACCAATCTATGAATGGACACATATGCAATGAGTTCAACTAGACAAGAAAGTCCCAAATCAATAAATAGCAATTGTTATAATGAAATTATTAAATATAAACCAGGTGTTGAGATCTATTGATACAAACGAACCGACTAAAAAACAGATATGATGTGGTTCGAACTTACGACTTAATGGCTAAAAAACAAATATTTTAACTACTACACTACTACCATTATTAGAACTAATAATGGCAATAACAATTGATATTATAAGATAGGAAGCAAATGGTGTTTTTTTCCTAAGATATTACATACCTCTCAGTTTATAGTTACTACTTTGAAGAAGTGGTCTCATTTCCTTAAAGATTGTGTTGATCATCAAGGTTGACGTAACTTCAATCGTTTTCATTACGAAAAAAAGTTGATAATATGAACTAGAACTGTAATGTTTGGGTTTTCTTCAGCGTTAAGATTTAATCAATTAATTAAATTGTTAATAATAGTGAAAAACAAACTAGAATCATGTTGGAACTAGAGTTTTTACGAGTTCTTTAGCAACTGCCTCTTTGTGGAAATATTAAGAATTTATAAACATTCAAAGTTTTTGAACGCCAAAGGATTACTGAAACCTACAAGTCACTGTTCATCAAATAGTGAGTGGTCTTTGGTGGAGGTTGGATCCTATTGATCATATGGCAACATTTTATTTAGACTCAAGTTATTTCATGAAGGTCCCAATCCCATAGGAAGTATATGTTCCGTCAAGATTGCGGGTAACTTTTACTGACGGGTACCGACCAGTACGCAACTTAAGTTCAGCATTTCTTGACAACTACTACCAATCACCTAACATTATTCATAATTTTCAACCAAACGATTCTTAATAGAAATAAACCATCAATTGCTTCACTAATGCAGACTGTGAGAACTAATAATTAATTAGTGTTTACAAAGATGTGAACTTAGACGCTCAAAAAGATGATTTATTGATTGGCCACTAAGTATTGTTTAACATAATGTTAGGTTTTAGGGTTGAACGAATTCCATCGATCAAGCTGCAATATGATCAATTATTAGTTTAAATGATCGACATTATGGTGCACTGTATCTTGATTTTAGGTAGTCTAAGACGATGGGAAATAAATTCTGAATTCAGATATTATACGGATTGTACAATGCTTTCTTATGCTACCCATTGTTTGAGTGAGAGACGTAACCACTAAATTTGTAAAACAAAGTTTAAAAATTAACGACTATATACCATCAATGAAGTAAAATATTTATATAGCTGGTAATTACAGGCTAATCAAATAAACGATGTATTACACCCAATACAACTCAAAGATGACGAATTATGCGTTCAGAGTTTTAATACAAAGTTATGGCTACAAAATGATCACGCCTATCGATGGACAAATAGAATAGGAAACGTCCCACAGATATTAATGAAGTACACCTAACCGATCTGTACCGACTTTTCCCTGTTATTTAATGATCGCTATCTGGTTATTTCGAATGCTTTACGTTGAGTGTTGCCATGAGATGTATCATTGTGACTTGATGAGCTGCTCTTGTGTTCACACTTTATAACACTTCAGATATGTTTAACTGATCAAAAACAAATTAGTATAAATGATAAAGTGATGATCAGTAATCATTTATAAACATGTATCAATTGTAAATAAAAATGTGATTACAGCATGATACGGTATATTTACTTTTACATCAACCGCTTACACTTAAAAGCGAGAACGTAGTAGAATGAAATTCGTCAACCAAACACGCGCTAATCTAACTTTAAGATAGATTTTGTTAAACGATATTTTGAATTATCAAAACTGTTGTTCTTTTATCTCTTAATATGATTTGACCAACACATTACTGGTAAGTTTAAGCAGATTATTGATAAACGTAATTCTTAGAGGAAAACTCAACTTTCAACTTTCTTCGCTATAAATTCAGTCCAAATGAAAATAAATCCTTATCACAAGTGAAATAAACATTTATATGTACTCCTTTTTACTTCCAACTAATACGAGAATATAATTCTAACCTAGCATGAGTGAGACAAAACAGCAA